AGGAAAAGCTGGGGAATTGGCGGAGTTTTACTTTTGCGAGTGATCATTGATAAAGTGAGACTCGAGAAGAGATACTGTATCCTCAGTCTCAATTGACATACACAAGCCATCATGTCTCGTCGTCTCCTCCTCATCAACGGCCCAAACCTCAACCTCCTCGGCACACGCGAGCCACACATCTACGGCTCAACGACCCTCGCCGACGTTGAATCCTCCGCCTCAGCACAAGCATCATCCCTCTCATCCAGCCTAGAATCATTCCAAGCCAACAGCGAAGGCGCCATCGTCGACAGGATCCACGAAGCGCGAGGAAACGTGGATGCGATCATCATCAACGCGGGTGCCTACACACATACCAGCGTTGCGATAAGGGACGCGCTGGTGGGAGTGAATATCCCGTTTGTGGAGGTGCACATCACGAATGTTCATGCGAGGGAGGCGTTTAGACATCATAGTTATCTGTGTGATAAGGCGGAGGCTGTGATTTGTGGGTTGGGGGTTTTTGGGTATAGTGCTGCGATTGAGTATGCTGTTAAGCACTTGAAGTTGAGGACGAAGCTGTAAATGTCACTGAATTAAAAATGCTTATCGAATTGCATTCGAAAATGTTTGTTTACAGTCCATAAAAGATCTCAGGTTTGAGGGTTGTGAAGTTGTGATGGAGTGTTCACTGAGCAATGAAGATGGTAGATGATGGTAACAATGCATTCTGGTGGTATTATAAACAATGCAACAAAACAAAGATTATTTACAACATGGCCTGCAGTCTCGGCTGAACATCATCCGCCGTTCTCAATCCCAGCTCAACCTTCATCTTCTCCCACGACTCAGCCGCCCTCTTCGCCGTCTCCTCCGGCACAATCTGATCCCTATCACAGAACCTCCTATTAAACACCTCAAAGCTCAACCACCCTTCAAACCCCAACCCCTGCACAACAGCCCTCAGTAACTGCTTACACGGCAGATACGCATTATACGAAGTCTCCCCGTAGAATAACCTCGCGTTTCTCGACCAGCTCATCCGCGACGGTTGCTCCGCGTTGTAAAACGGATGGCTCTCGTTCAGTGGCGAACTGAGTTTCTCGCCGTCGGCTACTTGTACTAGGAATACTTTGCTGACGTCGATGTCTGTGAGGATATGCTTGATGGATTCTTTTGTGACGGTGTCGCAGTCCTTTGTCTTGCCGTTTACTGCTGCAGGGTCGGCGTAGATGCGGCCGAGGATGTTATAGCTGTCCAGGCAGATACCGAAGTTCTCACGGTCAACGCGCTGGATTATATCCCAACTCTGCTCCCACCTGTTGATCCGCGTTCCCCAACACAACGCCTCGAACGCAAACTTGATCTGCGGCTGTTGCTCCAGCCCCATATCAGCCGCCACCGTGAAATCAGCGACTACAACATCCATATCATCCGTAAGTTGCTCCTCCGGTAAAAAGCTACTAGGGAACAAAATAAGATCTGTTTCAAGAGCATGACATAGCTCGAACCATAGCTTGAGTTCTTCATATTGTTGTGCTTGTGCTTGACGATCGATGAGACCACCAAAGTGCATAAAGGGTTGGAGACAGATGATGGTGAGGGAGCGGGCGGCGCAGAGGTCGTGGATTGTGCGGGCGGCTGTGATTTGGTTGGAGGGTGTGTCGCCGCCTGGGAGGGACTTGGCGAGGTCGACGAGGTCTTCGTAGAAGACTTCTATGCCTTGGAAGCCGTATTTGGCGGCCATGTCGAGTTTGTGGGGGAGGGAGTGGCCTGCGAAACAACGGCCTAGGGACATTGTGCATATGCTTGGTTTGTGAGCCATGGCTGCGGTCAGATGATAGTGTTTCGTCAATATGGTTGAGTTGTTATTGTGCTGGGTATAAGTGATGGTATGGTGAATGACACTTGGTGATAGAATGCTTATATGAACAGCGATAGATACAATAATGAGATAACTAGACTGATGCTGTGGCAACTTGATATAGAATCTACAGAGCGGAGAATGCCCCAGATCAAGACTCGATGATAAAGCAATCATTCATCCAACACCACCCCCCGTAGTCCCATCTCGATCTTCCCTTATCCATCGTCATGCTGAAAAGCCGTCACGAGGCGGTACCAGCCGAAGCCATGTTAATCGTTTAAGAGGGATGCTCCATTCAAAAAAATGATAAGGGAATTTCCCCAGTCACTACCTCACACTGTTTGCATCATGGGGGATGAACGTCTTGTTTATCCATTACCCGGGCACTGAGGTGGCTAAGTCTTTATCCGACTGTGGAGGTCGAGACCCGGTAATTTCTTGCATTGCGACCCCAGCTTTAGTGGATAAACCCTTTGAGGCGGAGGTTTCGGGGTGGGGGAGTTGAGGATCTGGGGTTTTTTTCCCTTTCCATTGTGTTCTTTGCTACTGGATGGGTTTTATTACTTGAATAGATCTATCGTCGCTACTTTCCAGGATTATTCTCTCAATCAGGCCACTTTCTGTCTTCTCTTGTCTCTTTAGGTTGTCTCTTTTCTCTTATTATCTACCTATCATATTATGTCTGTCCAACAAATCTCCTCTGAGCAGGGCTCCGTCTCTGGAGACTCTCTCCAATCCAACCAGGTCTCACAGCTGCAACGCCACGGATACCTGTTTGGCAAGAAATTGACTGCCTCGCTGTCGCCGTTTCTTCATAATGTTATTTATCAAGATCTTGGGTTGAAGTGGGGTCAAGTTAGACTTGATTCAGCTGATATTCCTGGCTTTTTGGAGTTGGCGCAACATCCCGACTTTTACGGTATGTTCCTCCTCTCACTCAATTGAGTTAAGATACTGATGAGATGATGTATAGGCGCCTCAGTCACCATGCCCAACAAAGTCGCCATCATCCCCTACCTAGATGAACTCACAGAAGAATGCCGCGACGTCGGCGCCTGCAACACCCTCTTTCTCCGTGAGCGCGACGGCCGCCGTATCTTCTGCGGCGCAAACACAGACGTCATCGGCATCCGCGACTCGTTCTACCAAAACATCGACAACCCCGACGCTGTCTTCCACAACAAGCCCGCCCTCGTAGTCGGCGGTGGCGGCGCCGCTAGAAGCGCTATTTACGCGCTGCGCAAGTGGATGAAGGTCAAGACGATCTACCTCGTCAACCGCGATGAGGCAGAAGTCACCGCCGTGATCGCCGATTGCGCTGAGCGCGGCTACGGCGAGGGTTTACTACACGTCAAGGATGTGTCACAGGCACAAGGCCTCGAAGCACCCGGTGCGATTGTAGCGTGCGTGCCGGACTTTGAGCCCGAGACAGAAGAGGAGATTCGCGCGCGCGCAGTGACAGAGACGTTTTTGGACAAGGAGCAAAAGGGCGCTATTCTGGAGATGTGCTACAACCCCACGCCTTTTACGAGATTAGGTGGTATTGCGGAGGATAAAGGGTGGAAGGTTATCCTGGGAACGGAGGCGTTGATTTATCAGGGCTTGGAGCAGGATAAGTACTGGACGGGCAAGCAGTTGGACCAGATGCCGATTGAAAAGGTGCATGTTGCTATTGCGGAGAAGGTTGCGCAGAGGGCGGAGGCGGCAAAGCTATGAGCGAGGGGTTTGTGTTTTATTGGGCATAGAAATAGCGTGCATTACTTATTGGAGTTTTAGATAAATGATTGGACTTTTTGTTACTACAATGCCCTTCTTTGCTGCTCTGTTGTTGACGATGAAATGTGATGCTTCTTAGACTAAGGTACCCTAAACTGAGTTACCCTAAACGTACCTAAGTTGTAAATCTTTACCTCAATTTAAATTATCTAAATTTCATATAAAATTATAAGTATTTAATTATAAATTTTAAAATGTACCTTGACTCTCATAAGTGATGAAAAGGTTTAGGAAAACTTAGCCTAAGCTTAGGGGACTCTTTGCTTGTCTTATTCTGACACCCTACCTTAAGGTTCAGTGTTTTCTTTCCCACCTGAGCGCGTCTCAACGAGACATATCAAGCCAAAACTCAAAATGCCAATAAACTTCACCTTTTCAAAGGTAATTTAAGAAGTATAAGATGCTCCGATTTCTCATGCTTGACACTCACCCTTACACATTTTTCAAAATGGCCTCATGGAATTCGCTCCCGCCCGAGATTCGTCGAATGGTTTTCCAGGCTTCCCTTTCTCAAAGCCCAAATCCTACAGCACCCGATCCTACAGCACCCGTCTTAGCTACAGTTTCTCGAGAATGGCAAGACTTTTTCGAGAGATCAACCTTTAAAGACCTGGCCGTGATTTGTATGCCTTCGCCTCAGCTATAAAGAGCAATGTCACCCGACTCGGGTATATCAGGACCCTACGTCTGCGCATCAATCTTATGCCCTACAGCAGACAGTTACAATACAAGGCTGAAAGCGCGACAGATGTCACAAAGTAAGTAAAATTTAGACTAGCCGGCGCATTACTGATCTTAGGTACGCTTTCTAACATCGGCCAACGGGGGGTAGGCAAGGAAACTTGACATCTTTATCCTAAGGGATGAAAAGGCTTAGACAATTTAGTCCAAGTTTGGGCGAGTCTTTACTGAGTTTATACGCTCTCTAACATCGGCCAACAGGAACAATAGAATTTTCACACAAGCCATGGCAGTTCTTCTCAAGGTCCTGTCTCTTTGGAGCGGTGATTACGGAGGACTTGAGCTTGAGCTTGATGCACGATCGCCGAGTGACTGCAGATACTTCAATCTCATATACGAACTCCACGATGATTTTCTCTTCCGTCATCAAAACGAAGATGAACTTTTCGACACCGTAGAAAGGTTTTACAGGAAGAGACACGAAATAGTCAAAAGATCCTTGGGTATACTACCAGGATTCACACGTCGCTCTATGAACTTAGCCTGGAAAGTCAACTACAGTTCGACGCGTCGACTTAGGGGAGAACACCTCAAACTCAAGCCATCATTGATAAAGAGAGGGTGGGCTTACTCTCAAATCGTGCGGAACCTACCAGCTACACCGATTGTGAAGGGACTTGTGATTCGAAGGGTCGCGCCTCGACTCATTGCTCTTGAATCCCTGGGCAAAATCATGCGGGAGAGCTTTATGGCACTGGAATATTTCTCTTACTCTACTTACATGGAGCGCACTGATCACAAAGAACAAGATTTTCTCGATGGTTGACCCTCCCCCTTCTAGTTCAACTGCTTAATGAGACTGTGCTGACAACTATAGATCTTGCTACACAGCTATTGCCGTCCCTGCCCGCATCCCTCAAGACATTTAGGTATAGCAGAAGACCAGTCAGAGATACATGCCATCCCTGGATCAACAAACTCCCCAAATCGCTTCTCTTCGCCCAAGCATGTCACCGATTCACCGAATTCCGCGCACCGCATGATATCCCTCCGTTAATACTTTTCGACGACATCGTAGCGGGTGGAGAGCGTAAAGAGTCCAAACTCGAGAACCTTTCTATCGTCACCATGTATCTGGCCCACTTTGAACCTCAGTGCATGATAACTAAGCATCTGATATCAGCCGCCCAAGCAGCAGCGATGATGCCTCGCCTACGCACCATGGAACTCTCGTGCTCCTACCAGGGATATGGATGCTTATTTCGGTGTGAAATGGATGACTATAAAGTTCAGATCACATGGAGATATCTACAGAACGGGCCGAGCTTTGATCTTGAGGAGCAAGTGATCCAGGAGTGGGAAAAGATTGCTTCGCATCGTCTGTTTAATGTGAACAACGCCCCTTTCGACAAGAATGAGGGGCAATGGAAAAGACCAATGATCATTCCATACTTGCATCTGAAACGGCTTGCTTATAGTACACTTGAAGAGGCGCAGCTAAGGGCTTTTCAGGACGGGTACAGACAATGGTGGTACAAACCAATGACACAGGAATCCCGCGGCATTTATTAAATACTCAGTCTTTCCAACTACTTCCAAGTAGGCGAAGCAGTTGCATAGATAAAGTATTCTTTTTTAGGATAGAGCTGAGTTGGTACAGGATGAACTTATCAGAGCGCGTCTTGACCGTCTCAAATCATACCTCACCGCTATCCTTCCACGCAGCATACTTTTGATAGATATCCTTCCTGAAAACATCCTTCAGATCTGTAGCAACGCCTCCGTCAAGAGGTAGCTTTGCAAGAATAGCCCCTACACCACAAATATCATTCTTGCGATCAATGAACCACGCAAACGTCAAACCTCCACCCCAAGACATAGTATGAGCACCATACCACCCCTCAACATCCTCAAGTGTAATGGTGCCTCCAAGCCCATGCCCAACCTTTGTCTCCTCACTGATGCCAACTCTGAAGAAAGGACCGAGTGGGCTAGCTAGCATGCCTTGCTGACCGATAAGTGCTTCAGGGGCAAGATGGTTCTGAAACATGTCCGAGCATGTTTCTGGCTTGAGGAGTTTTCCGTCGTTGGCGAGTAGGGACTGAGTGATTTTGAGATAGGTTGGTGCAGGCATTGCGAGGCCATGGCCGCCGAAACATCCATCTGAACGGCTGTTGATTTCAGCTCCTTGACCCATGACTGCGTAACCAATACCATTTGGGTCATCAGGATTGAGATCGACGAGACGCTCACGCAAGTCCTCTCTCGTGACAGGGAAGAACTGAGCGTCGGTTTTCAAACCAAGAGGTTTCAGTATACGCTCGTGAATATGCCCTTCCAAAGTCTTTCCAGTAACACGCTCAACAATTCGACCAGCCCAGTCCAAACCAGAACCGTACATCCATCCCTTTCCAGGATGATGTAAGAGAGGATATATGAAAGTATCCTCAACTTTTCTCTTCTCTCCATCCTTGGGTTTATACTTGCTGCTCCACTTTCCTATGCTCGGGGCCAAGAAATCATAAGCCAATCCAGCGCTGTGCGTAAGCAGCATTTCAAGCGTGATAGGCTGACACGCTGGTTCAAGAATCGGTTCATCATCTTCCGACCATCCAGTGAGAACCTCCTTCTCTGCTAACTCCGGTGCGACCTTTGATAAATCATCCTTCAGAGTGAGAAGGCCATCGTCAACGCATTGTAGAGCTGCAATGGAAGCTATGAGCTTTGTAGCTGATGCGAGACAGAGGATATCATCGAGCTGCTGAGGTCGCTTTTCACCGGAAAGAAGAGTTCGCTGGCCAAGGGCTTTATTGTAGGAAAAGTCTCCTTTGGAGTTGGTAGCACAGATGATGCCCCCGTTGATCTTGCCAGAGTCGATGGCGGCTTGGAAGCTCGTCTCGATGGTTCTCGCCATTGCAAGAGCAGAGAAAGATTTTATTCCGGTGGGTGCTTTGAAAGATACAGCGTAGAGTGATTGATGAGTGATTTTTAGTCTTGATAGCATTGGGAATCTGAGTATTTATGCAGTTGGTTAATGTAAGACAGACGAAGTAATCATCCGAGAGGAGTTCAGTCACGTGGGTCTCTACACGGCGAGTTGTTACAGCAGCCAATCAGACTGCTTATTTTCCGAGCGAGCGAATCGACTTGAAGCATTTCTTTCTCATCACCACTATTATATGCCCGGTGAGTCAACAGTTGGAATTCTCTGCCACTTTTTATTATGATAGAAATCTATTGTCTTCTCGATGAACTCCTCAGGAAGCTTAACAAAGCTCTGGCTCCAAAAGTCGAATACGGAGTTCCACAGTGCTTGTTTAATCAACCAGTCAGACGACGTCATTCAGACTGACCACCATCCTCAAATCTCGAGTGACTCACTCTTCTCAGTTAGTATTCCATAGGATCATCCCACTGCATCATCTGCCTCAAGAAAAGTCTTGTGCTTACGCCCTTCTCATGACGACCCATGGACCAGAACTACTCCACAAACGTAAAAGACCCTGCAGATCAGTCGGGGTAACGATTCGGCCATGAAGCATTCTTACCGATACACGGTCAAAATGAAAACCATAGCTGACATTACGTGAATTAGCCAGTGAAGAAATTCAATATCTCTTAAATAGGCTTGATGGCTTGTTGTAGACCCTTATTTTGTAGCTCATTCGTCTTCTGGCGTTGAGTGTGCCGCAATGGACTGATATAGGTGCTCAACATGACTTATAGAGTATTCTGTGAAGTATCGTGAGAAATATGTAAAAAGATATTGTTCATAGCTTAACTGATTGATTGAATGAGAGAGAGAACAACATGAAACTGAGAGATTCGGTATTCAGGTGCCGGAGTATATCTCGCCAAGCTAAAATCTCCAACGCCACGGCAAGATATCATCTTTGCCGAACATATATTTCTCAACTCCAACGTCACTCCCATTAACCCTCTAACCTTCAAACTCCCATCCAACACCATGGTACCCTCAATCTCATCCCCTCAGCCAGAAATGATAGACGTCAACACCACTTCACACCCAGAACCATCAATCTCACGAACAATAACCCGCATCAACGCAGCCTACGACTGGACATCCCCCACCGACCCTTCCAACCCCCGAAACTTCTCCCTCCTCACCAAAACCCTCAGTATCGCATCTATAACATCCCTCGCGTGGTCATCCTGCTTCGCCGGCGCAATATACGCCCCCGCTCAAACAGCCGTCAGCCATGACTTTCACACAAACCGTTTACTCACCGTCCTGCCTCTGAGCTTGTATAACCTCGGTATGGCGTGTGGTCCCCTAGTCGGAGCACCGCTATCTGAAACTTATGGCCGTAAAACAGTTTATGTTGCTACTACACCTATATTCCTTGCTTTTCTGCTAGGATCGGGATTTGCGAGGGATATTGTGAGTTTATCGATTTGTCGGTTCTTTGCAGGGATGTTTGCATCGCCGAACGTTAATAATACTTCTGCTACGATAATGGATTATTGTGCCCCGCAGTATCGTGGTGCAAGTTTGGGGATATACTACTCTATACCTTCACTTGGAGCAGCCGTTGGACCTCTCGTTGGAGGATTTGTGCAGAGATCGTTTGGATGGCGGTGGACGCAGTGGATTGCTGTTGTGATAACGTGTGTTCTTTACATCCCCGTTCTGTTCACGAGGGAGACTTATAAAAAGGTTGTTTTGCGGAGACGAGCTATCAGAATGGGATTGGGCGATAGCTCGTCTCAGCAGACGACCGTTGCGAGGACGATTCGACACTTCTTTACGGTTCTTATCCTTCGACCGCTTCATATGCTGTTTACTGAACCAATTGTCACTCTGGTCAGTCTCTACAATGGCTTTATCTTTGGACTGTTGTACACATTCATCATTTCTGTTCCTTGGATCTTCAGACACTACTATAATTTCAGCGCAACGGGCGAGTCCCTCTCATACCTGGGCATAACTCTCGGCACGCTCTTCGCCTGCGCCCCCTTCGTCCTAATCGACTTCTCATACTATCAAAAGCGCCTTATCCACTGGACCCAAACCCATGACCCAAGCGAGTCTTTCCCCCCAGAACATCGTCTCATCTCCTCCATGATAGGAAGTTTTCTCCTCCCCGCTAGTCTCCTCATAGCAGGATGGACAGCTGAATTCCGCATCCACTGGATTCTACCCATATTCTTCCAGGGACTGACGATGATGGCTTGTCTTTTGATCTACGCTGGTGTAAATCTCTTTATGCTTGATGCTTACGGCCCTTTATATGGAGCATCGGCATCGGGTGCTATGATGTTGAGTAGATATTCGTTGAGCTTTGCGTTTCCGATGTTTGCGCTGCAGATGTTTGAGAAGCTTGGTGCGGGGTGGGCAACGACGCTCTTGGCGGGTTTTACGCTTTTGATGGCGCCTATACCGTGGTGTTTCTTTGTTTATGGGGAGAGGATTAGGGCGAGGAGTAGATACGAGTCAAGCTCATAGTTAGAAGTGAAGGGTACTCTTCAGTCCTCATCTTCGCCGATCATCTCCATGCCCTCAAAAAGATCAAGCCAATCCTCCAACCTCTCCTTGACGAAAGTATCCAGCTCCCATGGCTCATTGGTCAGGGCATCTTGATCTCCAGCCCAGACATACATATCCGCCTCCACTACACTTCCGTCCTCCAGTACGACATCAACGCTCGTAGGAGTATATATCTCGCCCTCAAAGTCATCGAGCTTCTTGCGCTGGGAATTGGTCTCCAGGACAAGCAAGTCCCCTTCTACTTCGTGCCCATCTCTCTTTACAACGGCGAGATAATCTCGGGACCGGACGGTGTAGCGTGCATAACCGCGTACTTTGGCTGGACGGGTGAGCGCCGAGATGGATTCTGTGTTTGCGGCATCTCCGGTTAGAGCCCATGCTAGTAGAGGGCGGGCGCGGAGTGTGCCATAGACGAAGAGAGGGCGTGGCTTCGAAGATTTCACCATTGTGATACCTTTAGTGGAGAGAATATAAGGCGTGTAGATTATTTGTTTCTTGTGCCTTGTTGGGTGCGTACGTTGAAGGGAATATGTCGAGGTGAAATCCCGATCACAGCCAATGATCAGGTAGCAGAACGCCCCAGCTTTGGCGTTCTCTTTATTTCTATAACCACGAAAGGGAATAAAAGTCTATGTATTTGCTGCCTGATCATTCATTACAGTGATTGGGTGAAATGCTTAAAATTTTCCCCAGCTGAGCTTATATTTAGGTAAAGTTTTACAACTTTAGGTAAGTTTAGGGTACCTTAGTCTAAGAAGCATCACATTAACATGGCAGCAATCTTACACTGCTTGAAAGGGGGCAAAAAAGCCATAAACTAGCTTTTCTGAATTTTAAGCCAGGTCTCTCAGTCGTTCCAAGACTTGTGGTCGAACGCTTACAATTTCGCACAGAACTTTAACAATTCAATGGTAACAACCAGGATCGTCAATAATCCAATTACTGAAGACATAAGTGATGTACAAGGGGTATATTAATCCAATCTGGCTTCTATTCAATTTCGCTTTAAATTCCACATTTCATCATCATCAAGACTCTTAGACCTTGCCCTCAATCTGCTCAGCATTGGCCTTCTCCTCTCGCAGATCAGCACCATCAACATTATGACGGAACTCCTCGTCCTGGAGTCTCAATTCCTCCATGACAATCTTGTTAGCCCTCCAGATAGGCTTAGTCTCAAACAGCTTGTCCATCGCCTCAAGAGGAACACCCTTGGTCTCAGGAATGCAGAAGAAGACGAAGAAGACGGAAATGACCATGAGAGAGGCGAAGAAGATGTATACTCCCCATCCCCAGGCGTTGAACATTTGCTCGGTGAAACGGGCGATGATAAAGTTCCAGAACCAGTTGTTGGCGGCGGCGTTGGCTTGACCCAGAGAGCGGGTGGTCTGGTCGAACATCTCAGAGTTGAGAACCCATGGTGTACCGTTCCAAGAGGGTGTGTAGAAAGCGGTCCAGAGGTAGAAGAAGAAGACAGCTGCGATACCACCGGAGGATAGTTTGGGGTCCGCTCCGGCAGCGACCTTGGCTTCATTGTTGGCGATCTTGATGTAAGCGCCGATAAAGTACATGCAGAAAGCACCACCACCAGCGCCAATCATGAGAAGGTTTCGACGACCGACATGATCGATAAGAACTAGAATCCAAATAAAGGTGATGCTCGTCTTGACGACGCCAAAGATGCCGGTGGTGAGGAAGCTGGTGTTGGTACCGGTAATGCCGATACTTTTGAAGACAGTGGGGCTGTAGTAGTTGATAGCGTTGATACCGGAGCCTGAAAAATGTTAGTCATTGAACTGAAAACCTAGACGAGTGTGCTTACCATTCTGGAAGACGAAGAGAAGAGCACCGAGGAGGAAACGCCACCGGACCTTGGCCTCCTTCAAAGCAGCAAAAGGCTTCCAGAAGCCAGCGCCAACAGCGCTGTTGAATCGGTCGATCTCAGCATCGATAAAGCCAATCTCCTCAACAATGTAGATATCCTCTCGGTCAAGGTTTCGCATCCAGCAAAGGTTCTTGATAGCCTTGTCGCGCTTGCCCTTGGAGAACAACCATCGAGGCGACTCAGGAATGAAGACTGCACCGATGAGAAGAAGACCAGCAGGGATCAGCTGAACGGCAAAGGGGATCAGCCAGACGTTCTCGTTCTGGCCAGGGGCATAAGGGAGGTGCTGGTTGATTCCGTAGTTGATCCAGAAACCAACTAGACCACCGGCTTGCCATCCGACTTCGTAGAGACCGACAAGGCGACCTCGGACAGCGGGAGGAGCCAATTCTGAGATGTAAATGGGTGTCATGTTGGAGCATCCACCGACACCGATACCGGCCAAGACGCGTCCACCGATAATAAGGCCGAGACCCCGGGCTCCATTGGCACCCAGCATCATACCAGCACCGACCATAAAGACAAGAGAGAAGAGGATGAGAGAGTATCGGCGACCAAGAAAGTAACTGCTGACATAGGCGAACAGAGATCCAAAGAAGGCACCGGCCTGGTACACAGAGACAATGTTCTGCTTGACCAGCGCAAGCGCACCAGGCTCATAGCTCTCAAAGTTGAACTCCTTGACGAATGAGGGCAGAGCAAGGGTGGTTCCGATAAACGCAGAGTCGTAACCGATTGTGCAGGCAGCCATTGATGCAATGGCGGCGCAAGTGTAGACGCGCCAGTTGTAGACGGCCTTCGGCGTGGGCCGATCTTCTTGCAGAGTCAAGAGGCCCATGATTGCGGCGTCTCAAGGTTCAAACCTGCTTGAGAACTGTTGCAGCTTGTGGGGAGATAAGGTTGCAAAGAAGATTGTGGATGAACTGGAGAGTCGAAGAGACAATCCCCAAAACCCCGGTGGGGGGCAAAGATTTATACAAGTCAAGATGACCCATATTGCCCCTAGTCTAGCAGTAAAACCGTCTCCAAGAGCTAGTGTGCCGCTGGAGCCAGCAAGGGCCAACTCAATTCAACAACCGAACAACTGCTTCTCCAGAATTGGGGATACAGTCCGGGGTTTGCGGGGTTGGATCTGTGGGGGAAGAATATGCTTCCGTCGTTGCAAGGAGATTCAAGAGTGTCATTGTCTGTTTACCGGGATGCTGGGGCCTCGTGTTGCTGAGAGAACGCGTCGAGGGATAAAGACTTTTCCGCGGTGCCACATCCTGACTCAACTGTTCTGGGGTCTCCGCATCATTGCTACCATGTGGCCGCGGATCTAACCTTGTTTTGTCAAGAAATGGGGAGAAAATCTCAAGCGCTCATCGTTTATCCCTGTGGTCCCCATTTGCACGGCGATGTCGGCATTATTCCGAGGTTGATTGGACGTATTCCCGCAGCTCCAACACACCGCGTCAGCAAAACGTAGCATTCTCCGAGGATGAAGGGATCTTAGTGCTGGGATGTTGTAAGGATCTCGACATGAATAGATGTGATCAGCGCTGTCAGTCTGGGCAGTTTGTACGCCCCATCAGCCAAGACATCACAGGCAGGCAGACGGGAACAACTTGGGTGAATATGTATCCGTGTAAATATTGATTAGATTGCATTAAATCATGACCCAAAATCACCTTGAAACATCTCGCCCAGATCACATCCTGGCGCAAAGCCCAAGTTAGTCATAAACTGAGGATCCACATCAATACCATCTGCGCAGTCTATGGATCCAAGCTCATCCAGAATTGCGTCGTAATCAAGGAGTTGACTCGGCATCGAGTTTTGTAATGATCCCATTTGCCCATCAAGAGATGGTGTGTGAAGGGTATGAAAGGTCAAATTGGGTGTTAGTGTGTATAGAGACTGTGAAGTAGCCGGGCTACGGTCCGCAGCTTGATAACGTTGCCGTTCGTATGATAACGCCTGTTGCTCTTTTTGGCGTTGCTGCATCCGGCCGAGCTCATGTTCCAGTTCCCCGGATGTGATAGGGGCAGGGTGGTCTGTGTGATGCGAGGGATGAGAGGCGGTTGATATCTCATCCATAAATGATGGGCTCACTATTGGGCGGCGTGACGGATCCACAGAACTAGGTGTATGCTGGTTGCTTTTAGGGGCCTCTGACCCTTGATATTTGAGCTTCCAGCCGTCTGTGAGCGATCCCATTGTCGAATTCCACTTGATTTGGTCGTGTTCTGGCATTCGGTTTCCATGGCCGTGGTGCTTGACTATATCCATCAAGATGGCTATGATTGGCGGTGTTCCACCTGGTCCAAAGTTTTCCAGACACGACTCAACAACCTCTATGAAATTAGATAAGAGAGACGGCCGATGCCCTGGCACCAAGTCCAATGTGATTGCCAAGAACATGCCTTGGAGCAGGTATGCTGAGGGCACTCTTGGCGTCGAGCCACCAAAAATAAGGGAATTGCAAAATGAAAACCGAGCGTCCAGGCTTCTGACAAGGTCCTCTGGGGTGATTCGTTGAGGATTGCGGTCATTGTATAGCCTTGCATCCATGCTAGTACCCCAAAGTCTACAGAAGGCAAAAAGTTGTCGAAAGGTTGATAGTGGTGATGCGCAATCTGGTGTTGATTCTTGTCCATCATCCGCCGCCTTTCCGAATCCCGAAAGCGAAGTCCATGGCTCGTTCAAGTCGAGAGCCTGTTCTATAACAACTGAAGGAAGGCTATGTCGAATTCCCGATGTCACTTGCAGTTGACCAAGACTGAGTGAGGCAAGAGAATCCAGGATAAAGCTTCCTGCCAGCACCCTGACTTCGTTATGATTCAGAGAAGCTGCGTCGCCTTCCTTGACCGGAAACATGTGAGATGCTGTCGCGCGATAATGCAAAGCAAGGCGCGAAGCCCGGCCTATCATGATCCATGCTGTCATCGTCCTTTTTTGGCCCATGAGTACTAGCGAATGAAGGAGGAGTGAGGAGATATGGGCCAATTCGAATGTCTCGTCGTCGGGGGGTATAAGCCGTTGCGCGATGGAGCAAATTTCGTTGGGAGAGAATCCGTTGTGTCGTGACGGGTTGGAAGAAGCCGCGTCTTGAAATGAAGAGACAGCAAAAACAGCCCAAAGCTGAGCGTGTAACGCTGAGGAGGGGTTGGCTTCGATGGAAAGGCCCTCTGGGGGATACATCAAAGCTGTGCGTGTGATGATTCCGGGTTCAATAATTGGGAACCAGCTGTGAGTATAAGACATGTAGATATCGACCAGTCTTTTCCAGTGTGGAGGCAACGTCAGCTTGGTAGGTAATGATGGCTGGTCTGAGTTAAAGTTGTAAGATGCCGTCGGGATGCTCGTCTGCGATGGATTGACGCCTTGTACCGATAGCCCGGGTGATGGTTTGCCGTCGAACAATTGCGCACCAGTCGGGCTGCTATCTTCAGTTCCCGAGTCGTCTGCGGATGTATCGTTTTGAGGCGTCTTCTCATCCGACAGCAACCTCCCAATGTCTTTGTGAACCCGACTCTTGCTCCATCGTCGGTAGAGGCGATGGCCAGCTTTGTCCTTGGTCGCGAGGATGCGGGTACCATCTGCTCCATCATTCTGTGTAAGGAGACGATGAAGAGCTCCCTCACAGCCAGGAACCTGTTCAAAGAGCCATGCCAGCGACAACTCAATTGTCCGTAGGTATCCCGTCTGCACGCCTCTCTTGCGGGACGCAGGGGTGTATGAGCATGGCCTGTTTTGCGCGGTGCATGTTCCACAGTGAGGACGGGCGCCATCGCACTTTTCTCTAGCAGTGCGACATGAATCACAGGCAAGGGAGACTCGTTGGCGTTTGGCGGGAGCTGAGGTTGCGGGAGCGCTGGTAGTATCCGCATCGTTTTCGCGTTTCCTAGGCGGCATTGCTTGGATGTAGATGATCAAAGAATGAATGAGCTGCCTGCGCCGCGAGGCCAGCAGTCATGACGAAATGAAAAGAGAGATGAGGGGAGAGGAGCCTAACAGCAGTTGACAAGAGATCAATGCTTGCTAGTATGACGATGATGTGGAATGGAATTGTATACGAGTCCCATGTCAATAAAGCTCAGCTCAGATACGCGATTCCTGTGCCATTGTCATGCAGATCTGTCTCCCATGACCGAAATCTCAAAGCAACAGTGCCGGACAAAAGCAATACGATGCGATGAGACGTGATGCGGGGAGAATCTGGGGCCCTAGAATAATTCTGTGTTGCTTGGGGATGGTCTGTAGGTTCCAGCCTCCAAGTTCCGACCGCCGAAATCACCACCGATGTAATTGGACAGCGGGCTCGGAGTGGGTCGGATAAACGCTTTCCCGACCAATCGCCTCTCGCTTGCCCCGGATTGTCTGGTGGGGGATCTACCGAGCTTCCTCGCCCATCGCCCACCCACTTCACAACTGACAGTCGGACTCAGCGCTTCTCGACAAGCCCACATCACCATTCTCCCCTACCCAACAAAGAGATCCTTCTCTATAGTCTCAACAACTGCCATATCCTGGTGACTATGGCGCCTTCTTGAAAACAGCGCTGGTCAAAAGAGTCCGGACAAATGCAGCACGAAATGGCAGGCGTCAAGAGGTCGCTAGGGACCTTTCTTGGCCACGACGATACCTTGCTTCGACCAAACGGCCACAGCCGACCGAAGACCGTCCACTACAATCATGGAATCCCCCGCGATAACCTCGATAATTCGACACCGCAATCCCAGTCTTTTAAACTGAGCGATGTGCTCCAGTCTCAACCTCCATCGCGGGCTACTTCTCGAGCCAATTCGAGAGCCAATTCCCAATCCGCGGCTCCGTCAAATGCGGACCAACACGATGGACTTACTCGAACGCCTTCTCCAACCTTTCCTCCCTTGACTGGGCAGGTCCCCGATTTCAGTCCTGACGCGTCAATGATACTTGTTGGTATGCGCGGAGCTGGAAAGTCGACATTGGCTATCATGGCATCCTCAGCAATGGACCGCAAGGTCATTGATCTGGAGCCAGCTTTCCAGAGATCCATGGGCCTTTCGAGTGCCGCTTATAAGTCCGAACATGGGTCTTCGGAGTGTTACAAGCAGCAAGCCAAGGTCTTGCAAAGTATTTTGCAGCGACATTCCACTGGCTGTATCCTTGTCTGCTCTTGGATGGAGAGTCGCGTGCAGAGTCTCCTACGAGAGTTTGCGGCTACCAACCCTGTTATCCACATTGTCCGTGATTTTGATGCCATTAAGAACCATCTCAAGATCCGCGACGGTTCCAAGGTCCAGAGCTTGCTCGATGTGAGCAACGCCATCTTCAGGTCCTGCACCAACTTTGAGTTCTTCAATGTCACAGAGAAGGCTTCCAAGTCGTCGCTCTCTCGTGAGTCATTGACACAAAGATCGCCAGCTCCATATTTAACATTAAAACATGTTGAGCGACACTTCCTCAAGTTTCTATCTCTTGTTTATCCTGCTGGCACAATACCCTTTACAGATTCTGCATTCCCATTATCGAGGATACCTGCGGAGGAACGCAACTTTACCTACGCCACCTCCATTCCTCTTTCAGATGTCATTAAAGACTCTGTTGATGTCGAAGAGCATGTTATCGGAGCAGATGTTGTGCAAATAGTTGTACATGACCTGGCTGAGCATGCTGAGCAAGGCACATTGACGTCCGAAGCCAGCGGAAAACTGCTTGCCAACATTACCAAAGGCGTTGGTATTGTAAGGCGAAGCACTATCTTACCCATAATCCTGCATCTATTCCTACCTCATACAGCAAGTGACGAAGTCTTGCGTGTCTACCTTGATCTTGTCCACCATTCTGTACGTCTCGCACCAGAGATGATGACAGTCGATCTTCGACTCGAAGACGTCCACATCTCACGCATATTATCTATCCGAAAGAGAACAAAGATGATTGGAAATTGCTTCATCACCACAGATCCTCCCTCATGGGAATCTCCAATATGGATGTCGTGGTATAAGAAGGCCAACAATTTAGGATGCCATCTTGCCAGACTGATTCGACCTGCAGTTACTATTGAAGACAATTTCCGCATTCACTACCTCAAGACATCAGTTGCAGCTCTACAGGGGCCCAAGATCCCACTTATCTCTTACAATTCTGGCCCTCTTGGTCGGAATTCGCAGGCTTTCAATCGTATTCTTACTGTTGTCCGCCCAGATTCGCTGGAGCGGGTGAATCCCAGGCCCCCAATAACGCCATCCATTACCACGGTCGGGGCGACAGAAGCACTCTTCTCGTCTTTTATATACGACCAGATGAAGCTTTACGTCATTGGCGCCAACGTCAGCTACAGTTTATCTCCTGCGATGCACAAAGCAGCTCTAAAGGCATGCGGGCTGCCCCATACCTACGAGCCAGTGTCTTGTGCGTCGCTTCGAGGAATCAAGCATTTGATCGAGGATCCAGAGTTTGGTGGAGGCTCCATCGGCCTCCCCTTCAAAGTCGAGATCATCACCTTGACCCATTCGTTGAGCAAACACGCCCGCGCAATTGGTGCTGTCAACACACTGATTCCCATCCGCTCTTTGAATGATGATGGAACAATACCATCTGGGGCTGCCTTTTTCGACAGCGTCAACCGCTCAGGTCCCATCAAGGCTCTGTATGGTGAAAACACCGACTGGATTGGCATTCGCGCATGCATTCGCCGTGGCCTCTCCCCGGCCAACGCAGTCGTGTCCAGCACCTGTGGCCTGGTCATTGGAGCAGGCGGCATGGCCAGAGCTACAGTCTATGCCATGCTTCAAGTTGGCATCAAGAACATTGTCATCTACAACCGCACACCAAAGAACGCCGAAAAAATGGTGTCGCACTTTACGCAGGTCCTTGAGAGGAAGGACCATGGCCTACTGAGCGCCGGTAGCGAGCATTCCCGCTTCCATGTCATCGAATCAATAGAAGATGCCTGGCCGGCAGAGTTCCGCCTACCTACCGTCATTGTTTCTTGTATTCCCACCCACCGCATTGGCAACGTCCCCGCCCCCGAACTTATCCTCCCCAACGAGTGGCTGGGAAGTCGAACTGGCGGTGTCGCAATTGAGTGGGGGTACAAAACATTAGATACACCGTTCCTGGCACAGTTTCGAGCAGAGTCGCATCGCGGTTGGGTAAGTATGGATGGTCTGGATATACTGCCAGAGCAGGGGTTTGCTCAGTTTGAGTTGTTTACTGGGAGGAGAGCGCCGCGGCGGCTTATGAGGAGGATGGTGTTTGAGGCATACCCCGTTGAGGAGGGCAAGTCGAATTTTAAGGAGTTACAGCCTAGGCTGCAGTCGCTTGATGAGCAGGAAACATGATAATGAATTGGAGTTTGAGTAATATATTTGCATAGCTCATTGAAGTCGATTGACATGGCCACTTTCATCATGCCTGTCCCGCCTGTTTCGTGACTGAACCAACGCCAGGCTACAATATCACCTGACATAATTCGTGACTGTAACCAATTCATTTTCGCTCATTCTTTCATCCCTCTGGACTAATACGAACGTACCCCAGCCCATTTCACGTCATGATGCAACGCTTCGTCCGCACATCTCTTCGTGGAGTCAAACCTACCCTAAACATCTCGTCTCGTTCATATCACAATGCTGTCGCAAAGTTCACCACCATCGATTCTAAGGGCACGCCTATCACCTATGACACTGACATAATGATTGGCGATCCTGGGGAGAGTTATATTTATGTTGAGCCCGATGTCGGGAAAGCTATCCAGCGTGCAGTCGTTTCTCAAAGTGAGCCCAGCAGCCATCCTCAATCCGAAACCCTTTCGCTCCAATTTAATCATCGCTCATTGTGTTTCACACATCGTAAGTCTATTTCGGCGGCAGAGCACGAATTCAAGTGTTAAACAAGCCCAGAATCTTTACCACTCCCTCGAATTGAGTTGCAGCGAAACCTCGGGGACTCCAAGCAAGAAGTGAGTCCTGCAACACTCTGGCTCACTGGGAACTGGAACGCTATTACGCTCGATGGATCACCAGACGGTTCGTATCATGCACTCGCATACCAAATCTTGAACTGCTCTAATCATTTCTTGTTTTTATGTTGATAGAAGAATTTGAGAGAATGTCTCGAGAAACCGCGGTCAAGCTCAAGGGCGCGTTGGATAAGTTGAAGGATAGCTAGCCTGGTTACGATCATTAGATTGCTTGAATGTAGAGTCTCCCATGTATTGTGCTGTCCACCTAGGAGCCAGTTGAGGTATAAATGTCGCACAAGTCGGCTTCTGTTCTCTTGCTTATATTCGAGCCTCAGGTATCCATGCATTTTCGATATCCTACTCCGCTTCATCCTTCACTCTCAATCACTGACACTTTTTGCCGAGTTATACCATGATATCCAGATGAAAAGTACCCTTAGTCAGTTGGTTTCTTTTGCTATTATGCTTATAATGTCTTCCCCATGCTTTCGTTTCCTCACAGCAGCTCAAATACTTCGACTCTACGAGACAAATATCATTCGCGCTAGACCTACCCAAATGACTTACCTCGAGTCTGCGGTTTTCTCACCCCAGTAACACAAGAACTATGGCCAAGATGATCCTTTCCAGCTAGCAAGCATTCTTGCCCAGAAGATCATCCTAAATCACTCGTTTCAGGATGGGAATAAGAGGACGGCTCTCATAGCAGCCGGTATGTTCGTACAGTTACACGGTTACCAATTACGGGAGGCACTATTCCCCAGCGATGAAGTGGATGAGCAGATAAAAGATGCTCATGTTCCTGTTGCCACGAGACAATGGGACGTTGAGCAGTTGGCAAAGTTATATAAGAGTATTACAACATCACTTTGACGTGTTGATTGATTCTTGGTTCAGTAACTTGTCTTCTGATCCCTTTGTATGTCTTTGATTTCATACTCGGTCATATCAATTGAACGGCACTTCTATAGTAAGCCGACGTGACATTATTCAACGTCATATACTCAAAAACTGATAGGCTGACTACCAGCTCGTGACTAGCCGTATAGCCAAGATTGGTAAGGGCAGAGTCTATCCCCACTTGAGCAAACAATGACCGACGGCCCGAAGAACTTCCATCTAGAATCTAGTCACGAATGCGTCATGATCATGCTGATATCCATCACATGTGGCCCGTTGCCGGATATAGATGCGGGGGTTGGGGTATATAAACCGCCTTGGGTAGCCAAGTTCATGACCTGAGCCTTCAAAACTCTCGACATTCGAATCTCTCAAAACATTGTATCCTCACATATAATCTACAACTTCACGTCTGTCATCATGGCTTGCGATTGTGGATCTACCTGCGGCTGCAGCGGAGCGAGCTCCTGCTCCTGTGGCCAGAGCTGCTCTTGCAAGAACTGCGGCGTAAGTACAGAAAGACTCTCGAATATTACGATGTCTAACGACTGTGTGTGAACAGAAATAGTCCACTCGTTCTAAGGAACAAAGATGGTGGGTGCATGAAGGAGTTGCCGGGGCTATGGATGTCAATGGTTTCCTAGTTCTATCATCACATTATCAATACAAGTCTGAATGAGGTGTTTTTTTGAAATAATGTGTCCCAAAACAAATGTGAAAGGGTAAAAGAATCAATATGGCCGAGCGTTGGGCCAAGCAACCAACACCACAAGCTTCAAGGATCAAGATCCAACGATGCCTTTATAACTTATCTGTTGGAAGGCAAACTCTAATAATAATTACCTTGGCCGTTTCTTTGATACCCTGCTTCGCTTCTAAGCGAATAAGTATAGGAAATCTGATTGGAGCTGTTGACGCGAACAGCACTTCCTGAGATTGGAGATTAACCAAGCGCTTAAACTTAACCGCCGGCATTCAACTTGGCAGTGTATGATCGAGATCTAGGATTCTCTTTACATCCAATCTATTATCTCTGCCTTTTCGTTGTAATAGGGTCATGCGAATTTCATATCATCTCCAAGGTTATGGTCCTGTTAACAAGACTTCTGTGCATTGTCAAAGAATTGTTGTTGAAGCTGCAATGATTCCTCTCGACTTTCCAATGGTTCCAAAATAAAACGACGATCATAACATGATTCTAATAAAAGGATTCTGCGATGGTCCATAAAACTGTGTCTCAGCGCGAAATTGGCGCGTGCTATTGGCTGTGGTTTATGCATGTTGGTTGTATGCGTTTCATCTACAGCATAAACCCTGCAACTGGATACAGAACCGCCCAAGAAATCTGTTAGTCCCACCCGCTTTGTCCGGCGCGTAGCACTAACAAGCATCCTCACGAGCCAAGTACCACGCCTCTCGCCTGCAGAAGGTAAGGCATTCTCAGGACTCGGGGAGCGCTTCGAGTCAATGATAAAGAGCGAAGCTGCTCTGTGCTTTCTGCGGCGTTCATCATACCACACAACATTCATTATGGAGACCTTTTCAAGGCAACAGCACAAACACCACGATATCAGCATCACAACCAAAGATGTTTCTTCACGAAAAGCAAAACCTGGTCCTATTCGTTCCTGGTTATGGGAGACTCTATCGTTACTATTGGCTTTGGGCTTGCTGATAGCTACGATTGTCATCCCAGCACAGAACAATAACAGAGTCTTGAAACCATGGCCATACGACATCAGCCTCAACACAATTATTGCTATCCTTAGCACATTTATGAGAGCCTCAATGTTACTTGTCGTTGCTGAGCTCATCGGCCAGATGGGATGGAATGCCATGCAGAAGCCCCGTCCTGTTTCCGATCTTCATCATTTCAACAATGCCAGTCGCGGCATCCTTGGAGCCCTGAAGCTATTCTGGACTGTTCCTCCTCGTCTCACGAGCATCATCGCCGCTCTTGTCATCATCATATCTCCTGCAATCACTCCCTTTGCCCAGCAGTCTGTCAGCACAGTTCCCTGCGCAAGAACAGTCGAAGGCGCGCAGGCATCTCTACCAATCACTCATTATGTCCCTGCCTGGAACTCAAGCTTTAAAACATCTTCCGCCAGCTATGAGCTTTCAGGTGATATGAAAGTCGCCATGATGAATGGCCTTGTCAACCCTACGGGCAAGGACGCAGCCATAGCTGCAACCTGCTCGACTGGAAACTGCACGTTCCCAGCAAACTCCCAGGGAATAACCCACTCCTCTGTTGCCATGTGTAGTGCCTGTATTGACACCACGGAGTTCATCGAACTGAACATTAGCAAGAATAACGCTACTGGAGTAGGGGGATACGCTGGCAAGATTTACAATTTCAGTCTGCCAAATACGCAGTGGGTTCAGGCTGTTATCAGTAGTCAGGTCATAGCCATGTCGGGAGATTTAGGCTGGGCGCTCGACACACCCAACTCCAGGTTCGCCCAGTTGGCCAAAGTCGCTATTTCCAACATCACGACCCTTAGCTTCACGCAAAAAGGCTGCAACGTTACTACCAGCGCCAACGCAACATGTCCTGAGAATAGGCTGACCTCAAGATTGCCAGTGCCCCTGCGCCAGCAATATCCCATAGCAACGTCATGTGCCCTCTATCCTTGCATAAAGAAATACCACGGCAAGGTGGATAGAGGTTCGCTTATCGAGAAGGTGGTTGACGAGCAGCCCATCGATTACGATAGGGCTACCGATGACGATGCAGGAAACCGTGTTGGAGTACAAACGCCCTGTTTGATCGATGGCAAGGAATACAAACTTGCCAACTTTTCTCAAACCAAGGATCCCTCAGACTCAGAAATAGTTGTCCCGGTCGACGGGACCAACTATACTGTTCCGAACCAATGTGTCTATCAACTCACCTTTGGGTACCGGCAAGCACTAGGAACCTTCATTGAGAAGACGCTCTTCAACACCCTCTGCGTCGCCATTCCCTTCGCCGGCGCAAAAGGCCAGCTTAATTGTGGCGACCAATGGTGGCTACCTCCACTCTACAACTCAACATTCGAAGGTCTCGATGCATCTTTTGATTTGTTCACGACTGCCATAACAAACAATTTCCGCAGGCAGGGCATCCAGGCTATAAGAAATGGTTCCATGGAAGAGAACGACAAGGCTTCTGGCCAAGCTACAGAGATGGCTATCTGCACTGTGTTTGACTGGCGATGGGTGCTGTTGCCGGCTGGGCTGGTGGCCATCACGATGTTGTTGTTGATAGTTGCGGTTGTGCAAGGGTTCACGAACCCAGGAATGCCAGTGTGGAAGACGTCGATACTTCCGTTGTTGTTTTATGGACCTAATGTGGTGGGCCATACGCAGGAAACGGACTTGGATGATTTGCAGAAGGAGGCTGGGAGGGTGATAGTTAAGATTGAGCATGATGAGAGTGTTAGACTTGGACAGGTTGATACTTGGGGGACGGAAAGTTGAAATAGCATTCTATTGGGGGTAGGGCATTATAGGGTTCTAATTATATACATGGATACACGGAATTTATTATGATTCGATCAGTCAGCATCTTTATTATCTGGATAGGCTTAGATGGCAAGTAAGAAGACCGACGTATCAGTCCTTTCATTAACACTTTCACGACAACGTAGAAAGTCCTGGCTTACATGATCGCCTTGTAATAAAAGAGCATCGGACTAGGCAGATCAGAGTAAACTGATGGCGGTAGTATGCCGTTTTCAGAGCCTGAATAATGTTTCGGACCCGAAGTCTCTCGATATGCTGTAAGTCACGGAACGAGAGCGGAAGTATTCCAATTGATTTTCATTCCATAACCCTGATCTTCACTGAGCTCCTTGATATGATGTCAATGATGTCAAGTGTTTTGATTGACAGAATTAGCTTCAAATAGTCCCGTGGGGAGCGGGAACACGGCACCACAGCATGGATGCTCTATATAATTGCCGAATTCGGGCATAGATCGACCTGGGATAAGTTGATCGAAACACCACTGCAATGAGCTGAACTGTTCTCTCTCTTCTATCCTTTTTCCAATCATTCTCTTATAACTGTGATTTGAGATATTCAAATACGGGAAAACCAATAATCATGAGTTTTGATCTATCCACGGCGTATAAGCGGGCATTGCTCCGTCCGCTTGTCTTACCTCTCACCGACATCAATGCCACGAACGAGCCGGCAACTCTGTCTGAGGAGCCCCAATGGAGAGCTTCGACACATATCTTTCTGGGAATAGATGATCGCGACGAGACTGCTGCGTGGCCGCCTGCCAAGTTCAACGATGATCCGTCCAACATTCCCAACGACGAGGCATACAACATCCCATACGATCCCGCAAGCAAGAAAGCAAGCACCAGCGTTTTCAAGCTGTACTCCGACTCTGAACAGAGAAAGACATCAACCGTCCAGCCTCCTAAGCTGGCCGCTAAACGCTATTTCCCAAAGAAGCAAGCCGAAAAGTCTGAGCAGGGTATAACTCTTCTCACGCTTACAGGTATGGGCGTTCCCAAGGAGATGTTTGAGCCTATGCTTGAAGCTGTACTCCCTCGACTACGCAAGTCTGGTGTCAAGGTTGAAGAGATCTGGGCGATAGACATGCCTCTTAGCGGACAGACGGCCAAGGCTAATCCTGTGGGATATCTATATGCTAATGAGAAGGACATCGTTCGAGATTTGCTGCTATTCCTTACTGCTTATCTACCTGTTCAACCTGGTAAAGAGCTGCCGAGGTACCTTGAGGCACGCAAACCAGCAGGCCAAGCTCAACAGCCTACACGGCAGAATCTTCATGTCTTTGCCCACAGTCTCGGCGCTCAAGCCGCTATCCTAGCTTCCGTCCACGCACCAAACATCTTCAGCAGTCTAATGGTTGTCGATCCAGCCATGATCCCCGCCGGAAAGATCAACGACGCCATGACAAAGCTCCCCAAGGAGATATTCTGTCTTGGTCTCAAAGAAACCTTCCCTGATCACAAAGCCGTCGAAAAAGCACTCCGCGAGAATAAACGGACCCGAAACTGGGACTCACGCGCCATCAAAGCATTCATCCAACACGGAATCATCCCCAGCGAAAAGGGTGGCGTCAAGCTCATCGCCCATCCAAGCCTTGACTGGGCTCTATGGTACGACAAGCAAACTCCTGCTGAGTGCTATGATCGGTTCAAGGATATGAGCGTTCCTTTACTAGCTATAATGCCGAAGAGGCCCTTTGCTGTGCCGGCGAAGATGTTTGAGGCTGATGTTAGGAAGTTGAAGAGGAGGGTTGAAGTTAGGTGGGTTGAGGGGACGCATCAGGTTGTTTATGAGAGGATGGATGAGTGTGTAGTGTTTGTGGGGGAGTGGTTGGGAGATATTGCTGGTGAGAAGAAAGCTAAGCTGTAGAGTCGCGGATAGTTACACAGAGAAATACATTCGCTAAACATGTTATTCACATTGTTGCTGATCTATATGTCTAAGTCTTCTACCACTCTTCTAATCTTCTAATCTTCACACGTAACCCACCAGCCGGTCTAGCCGTAAGACCTTCCTTAACATCAACAACCCTCTCATCCATCAATCTCCTATCACTCAACTCAAACTCAAAGCTCCCAACCCAACCCGCTATCAAACACGCCAACTCAGCCCTCGCAAACCCCTGTCCAATACACGCCCTGGGCCCCTGCAAAAACGACAAAAACCCATATTTACTCTCCGCACCACCATGTCCACTCTCACTCAACCATCGATCAGGCTTGAATAAATGTGCATCTGCTCCCCAGAGCTTAGTACACCGATTCGTGGCCCATGGTGCTATGACGATGCGTGTGCTTTTTGGTATGAATTGATCGAGGATGGTGGTGTCGTGGGCTGTTTCGCGGAGGGTTTGGGGGACGGGTGCGTAGAAGCGGAGGATTTCACTGTAGACCGCTTGGAGATAGGGCATTGAGTCGATGTTGACGCTTGATATGGGGGTTTATTTTGCTTGTGTTAGGGGAGGGAGACAGTGGCGGATTTCGTGGCGGAGTCGGTCTTGGACTTCTGGGTGTTTGGCGAGGAGGTAAATTCCCCATGTGAACGCTGCTCCTGTTGTGTCGTGGCCTGTAACTATTAGCAACTGTGATACTTTATGGGAGGATAACTTACCAGCAGCAAGCAATGTCATGGCTTGATCAATGAGTCCATCCTCGGTGAAAGTCCCAGTCCGCACTCCGCATCGCCGCACATATGATATCCATATCATCTAATTTCTTATCCTTCAACTTCTTTTGCTTCAACGAGATTATATCTCTACACGTCTCGCGTATTGATCGGGCTGCCTCACTCATATCTGAGTTGAGCTTGATAGGTAAAGCTGTGAGAACCCAGGCTGGAACCAGACTCTCGATAAGGTGCAGCATACAGGCTTGAGCTGATGGTTGGAAGACAATGTTATATGTCTTCACCATCTCGTTCTTCGCGTCTTGTATGGCGCCAAAGTCCCGAACTAGGCCAGCTAGACCGGTGAGATCGAGAGTTGTTCTCGAAGCCTACTCTACCACCTCCACCGTCTCAAGTCTATCAGCTGTGATTCTCTCGACCATCTCTCTGGTTTTATCCCAGAACAGTGGGTATAGAGCCTTGATGTTCCTGGGCGCAAAAGCAGGATTCATGCTTCTTCTCTGCAACTTATGGGCATCACCCTCAGACAGGATAAGGCCCATTTCTAAGAATCTCCCTGCTGTTTCTCTCAAGCTAGCAGGCTTTGGAAAAGAATAGTTGTGGGTGACGAGAACTTCGTGAAGAGCATCTGGAGATGTGAGAACGATTCGTTCAGCGTTGAAGAATCCCAGGTATCGTAAGAAGCCATCGTTGGGGACTGTTTCATTCCTGTTCCCAGATTTATGAGTTGCGTTGAGGAATTCAGATTGGAGTCTACTTACCATTCTCTCACTGGTGAGCAGTACGGCTCTCCATACAGTTTCATGCCATGGCCCCAAAGCCAGTGATTTTCTTTAGGCGTAGGGATGTGACGAAGCGGTGAAATGAATCGGGACCGTATTATGATCCTGTAAAAGCACCAGAGGACTGTTTCTAAGCACAATGTCCCTGAGAAGCCAAGCGAAAAGATTGACTTTTGGTTATCTGGGTATAGCAAGGCTAGCAGGTATCCAGAGAGAGTAGCACCAGCCAGTATAATCTGCCACGTTTCTATCATGATTCATATCTCAAATGTTGTGTTCTCAAAGTAGTTGATCTTGTAACATGAGTTTACATTATGATAAACACAAGGTTTGAAGGTCCTCGCAAAGAGCAGTTTAAGTAAGACCCATGATTTGCCGCAGAACTAAATCTGATAGAGGAAAGCAAACAGCGAACCCTTGCTTGGTTTCAAACTCGTTTGCTGACTTGTAGATGTCAGTCTCATTGCTTCAGCTCCGTGACGATCATTTACCAGGGACCTATTTGATATACCCAAAAGGTACTGGAGCCCCACACACGCCTTTGCCGTCTTCCCGGGAAAAGGCTGTGGAGAGATGACGCAGTGCCACAACTAGATATCAGATCCTCGGTATGGATTAAGCGATCAGGTATCGGAGGGTCTTGGAATTTACGAAGCCCAAAAATGAGGCTAGTCTTGTGCTTTGAACTTGGCTGGGTAGTGACGCGGGAGCTTGTGGTAACCAACTAATGGGGAGCACCAACGCTGACTACGATCTCGTTGACATAGGCCTCTGATTTTGGATGAGTACTCTGAAGTAGCTAAATGGTCTCTAATGGGGAGCAGGAGGCTCAAGGACTTTATGCTAAGTTTTAAGAATTCTTAGGTAAGTTCAGTATAGGTTTAGAAGGTCTTTCGGCCGATCAATATCGGCACTCTGCTTTATCGTCGGAAGTTTGAAATCTCTCCGAGGGCTTCTGGGAGATAATAATTGATTCTAATTAGATATGCTATGCGATTCTCTGATATATTGACTACTCCGGCACATCAGTACAATACTAAAATGCCATTCTAGCAAGGCAGACTGCACCAAGACCAATAGCAGCCGAAATACCCAATGAAGAGCCCATTTTCCAAGCACTGTTGGGTTCGGAACTCGTAGTTGCTGCTGCTGTCTCACTTGTAGCTGTTGTGGAACCACTACCAGAAGTTGAGGTCTCTGTTGCTTGAGCTTGACTAGCTTCAGCTTTGCTTGTAGTTTCGGCTGCGCTTCTGCTCGTCGTCTCTACCGAAGTTGAAATTACTTTCTCCTCAAAAGACTATTCCATATTAGCAGACCAGTTTGATAGTCAGAGGCTTGTGAACAAACCGTTAATCCAGTCTCAGTAGTTTGATGAGCAGAAGCCGTCACGGTCTCACAAACCCTCCTCCAAACATCCCCATAGACTTGACACAAAATCAGCCCTCTATCTCATAAATTCCTCATAAAATGAAACTCACGGTTATAAGCAGATGGACCACAGATGTCCCAAACACAATCTTCCTCTCTCTCAACCCAGTCAACAGACTCATTACACCAGCACTGAAAAACACCTCCTCTAGTACAAGACTTGTAGTTTCCATAAGTCTCGTAGCAAGCTTGGAAACATTCTGCGCGCTTTTCTTCAAGATCGAAAGCTTCAGCTCCAGAAGCGGTTGGGGCGAGGGTTACGGTTGCTAGATAGTCGCTTTCGGTGTTGGCTGCGGCTGATATGTTGACTAGCACTGAGAGCAGGGGTAGGGTGAGAAAATGAGGTCTCATTGTCGTTGAAGATAACTGGTGATTGTATGCTTTGAGGAATGATTGTAGGTTCATAGAAGACGCAGCGCATTTATCTAATTGCCAAGGCATATTGCTGAGAGCAGGGGTCGTCTTGGCAGCTGAACATTTTACCGGCTTGGCGAGTCATTTATACCAACTAAACCACAAGAATTAGGCCACGTGCTATTCAAGCATGTAAATAGCGCTAACAAGTGGCTCGGCAAGGCAAATCAAGGCATATTTTCAAATAGAACTAAGAGCGGACGTTAATACGACCCCGAAACCGGCTCAGCAACACTCACTTCATCTTATATTCAAAGTCAGAAAGATGTCTAATTCGTCTTTTGTCTTTTGATCATTTTGACCCTCTAAATATGCATTCGAAACCCAGAACAAAAACCCTTCATCTCACATTCATCGCTGTCCGCTAAGCTCCTTCTCAACCTGCTCCTTAACAAGCTCCCTCACAGCCTTCCAATCATTCGAAACATCAGAAACTCGCTTGGGCAACTTCTCAAGCCCGACAAACTCCTCAGGAAGAACCTTCTCCTGGAAGTTAAAGTCCTTCTCGTCCTTGAGCGCAAGCTCAACCGCACCGGCGAACTTGGCGGGGTGAGCTGTGCACAGGGAAATGTGAGGAATATTGGCCTCGGCGCGTTGGGCTGAGCGGAGAGAGGCTGTGACGCCGATGGAGGAGTGGGGGTCGAGAACGTAGCTGAATTGCTCGTAGATGCTCTTGATGGTCTCGAGGGTCTCGGGGTCGCTGACGCGTTCGCTCTCAAAGGTCTTGCGGGCGCTGTTGAGAACGTCCACGTAGACAGGACCGAAACCGCCCTTGACCTTGAGATCCTTGAGCCAAGTAGCGACTTCTTGACCAGCTTGCTTGCGGTTGAACTCGACATCCATACCAACAGTAGCAGCAAACTCGTAAGCCAAGAACCAAAGCAGACGCTCAAAGTTGCTAGAAACCAAAATGTCCATAGCAGGGCTGAGCGTCTCCTTGACGCCCTCCTCATGGGCCTTAACACCATCGACCTCCAGACCGCCCTGGGCTTCAGGACCCTTGGCGGGCTGCTTCTCGTACTTCCCGCTCTTCCAGAATCGATCAAGGATATCGTTCTCGTTAGTCGCGATAACAAGCTTATCGACGGGAAGACCCATGCGGGTGGCGAAGTAGCCGGCGAGGATGTCACCAAAGTTTCCGGTGGGGACGACAAAGCGCACCTTGTCGCCGACCTTGAAGGTGGAGGAGTTCTTGGCGAGGGAGAAGTAGGAGTGGAAGTAGTACACGATCTGGGCGAGGATGCGGGAGAAGTTGATGGAGTTGACGGCGCCGAGCTTGAGGGAGGCGTTGGTCTCGGGGTCGCCAAAGAGGGCCTTGACGATGTCCTAACAAATTCGTTAGCGCGGCGCGAAAGGCGTGGCGTGCGAAAGGGCGTACTCACCTGGCAGTCGTCAAAGGTACCGGTAACGGCGAGGTTGTGCACGTTGGCATCAGTGCACGTCGTCATCTGAAGCTCCTGGATAGGACTGACACGGCCCTTGGGATGCAGAATAGTAACAGACACATCCTTCTTACCCCTCAAACCATGAATAGCAGCGGATCCAGTCTAGTTCAAAGGTTAGGATATTACCGCAATCAGACCGCACACAGCATGACTCACATCACCACTCGTCGCACCAACAACAGTCAAGTGATGTCGGTCCTTACCCTCCTTGCCCTCGTTCTTTCGCGCAAGGAGGTACTCGAAGAGGTTACCGAGGAACTGCAGCGCGCAGTCCTTGAAGGAGTAGCTAGGCCCGTGGAAGAGTTCGAGGAGGTGCAGGTTGTCCTTGAGCTGGACGAGGGGGGTGACTTCTTGGGCGCGGAATGTAGAGTAGCTTCGGTTGATGATGCCTTGTAGGTCTTCGGCGGGGATTTCGCTGCGGGAGATGTAGAGGCTGAAGATCTGGAAGGCCAGTTCCTGGTACGAGAGATCTTTCCAGCTTTGCTAGTATCGCGTTAATCGTCATCCCAAGATTCGTCGCTTTCGGTCGAAGCCGGGAAGTATGAGAAATCGACTCGCACGCACCCATTCTGTCGCAGCGGGAATCTCATGGGGGAGGAAGAGACCGCCATCAGCAGCCAAGCCCTTTAGGACAACGGTCTCGAAGGAGAGCTTTCAGAGGGTCAGCGGAGTGCTCCATTGCGATTGATCACGGATATTTCGTACACCATAGTCGCCACCTCTTGTGGAGAGGTAGACTTGCGATTGCGTATGTGTCGAATCGGTGGCCATTGTTGTTTTTGCTCGTTGATGCTTGGAAAATTATTCTTGGTGCTGCCCCTCGTTGGGAAAATGGGATGGAATGAGTCGCGAATTGAAGCCACCCCGCCGGAATTTTAATCGACCGGCCGGTATCGGAACCGGAGCCGGGGCTGGATGCACTAATTGAGACCTAGAGCGATGAAATAGAGTCATGATGTTTAAACGAGTTGAGATGATTGGTTCATTGTTTTCTTATACTATCTTACATATTCAATTTGTTAGTCATATAAAGAGCTGCTATAAGAGTTTTGTTAGGGCCACTGGATTCACGGGTGTGATGTAGCACAATGTCTCACGGTGTACTCCGTATTGTACGTTCAACACCATCTTGAGCAACCGGCGATGCTCGCATTTATCCCGACAACCTCAAATTGACAAGACAAATTGGAGACTCGATCAATCTCCATGATACCAATGTTTGGCTCAACACTTTTAAGCCCTTAGAGTGGCTTTAGTCTCAAGGAGAAGAAGAAATTGCAAAGCCAGTCAACTCGTCTCTCAAGTGAAATGGCCTCGTCTTGTCAACTCCATGATGTCCCCTCTTAGCACCCAATAATCCCTGAAGTCGATCCGCCAGTGTGCTTTGACAGCAAGGCGCAGCTCGTCGTATTCCTTCAGGGGATGGAAGAACGGCACAGTCAAGAAATTACGAGCTTCGCCAACCAATCAAAGCTCTTGTTTCTTGAACTAACCCATTCGCTTCTACCGCAATTTCCTACAGCATGGGTCGTTTAGAGGTCATAGGACAACAATTCAGAAGGATTTGGCGAACGCTAAAGATCATACGTTACAACTGGCTCACTCATTGAGTCAGTCACCGGGCAATTCTGTCAAGACCCCTGTGGGATTTTCGTTTAAAGCACGGCCATCCTCCACGCCAGAATCATGTCAAATCTCTCGTTAAACTTGTCACTCGTTCACAAGATCTACTCGTTACGAACCTTGGAAATGGTCAAATCAACTCTTTTGACGGCTATTCCCCTGCTCATGCTCGCCGAGCAAGCCCTTGGATTCGGCTGTTCAACGCACAGCTACACAACATGCGAAGATAAAATAGTACACTGGTTCGATCCCGACGACGGCATGATTTGCGATCCCCTCGACTGCGGCGGCGGTCGAGCACCTCCCAAGACTGGCGTGCCTGGATGTGCCGGATATACCGGCACCGAAACCATCGGAACCTCGTATCTCTCGTGCTGGAAACCTTCGACTACGCTTGTTGCTGCAGCTGCGGAGACGACATCGGAAACGACTGTGACGGAAACTGCTGAGCCTAGTACTGTGATCAAGGTGGAGACGAGGACTACGACGAGGCATTTCGTATCTGAATCGGCGGAACCGCTTGAATCAATTAGAGTCACTGCGACGGCCGGATCGACTACCGTGGCTCCTGTACTGCCATCGCAAAGTAAATCGACCCAAGCTGCTTCTGCTTCTACGCCTACTGCTGCAGCTACTACAGCTGCGCCAAATGCGGCTCGAGTTATGGAGGGTTCTATTGTTGCCGTCGCTGGCGTGGCGCTTGGAGCAATTGTCCTCCTGTGATCTGGCCCTAGAGATTCACGATTGACGGGAACATATTGATGTACGACATGAGTCAAATAATAATGTCGAGCTTTTAATGATGCCAACCCTTTGGCATGAATAATATTTAATTTCATTCCCCCAAAAGCTCGAATCTTACTCTCCCGGCCAGCTTTTATAGGCTTGATGACCAAGAGCCTCAGCTTGACGGGAAGAAGCTGCTACCAATGGACCCAAAGACTGCCTTACAATGGACTATCAACATCTTGAGATTTCTATCGTTCTCAGACTTTTCGACTTTATCCCGAGTATTCGGTCCAGATATTCGTTCCAACAGCGTCCTATGTAGAACCTTCAGTGATACAGCCTGATCCATCCACTTTATGCGAGCATAATCGTGCTGATATTCCGCGAACAACCTCTCAATCTCATTTTTCTGGGTTTCCAAAGCACTCGTAGTCGCCCACTATGTAAGTGGTTAGTAATTTGAAATATGGATGAGATCCTACTAGCCGGAGAATGACTTACTGCAGCTACTAGGCATGGTGGGATATAGCTGGCACCAAGAGGTCTGTATTGGGATACCCCTTTGGCAAGGGCGATAAGTTCGTTCGCCAACGTCGATGCCTCCAAGAGTAAGACGCTATCATCTGGATATGTTGCTCGCAGTATGCTGTTCAAAGCTAGTGCTGTCATGAGAAGGATAGCTTCCGTGACATTAAGCCTGTGGATAACCTTTTGCCGACAGTGTAAGTCTTCAGAAGAAGACTTCTGTGTGCTTACGCTCTCGAGGTGGTGCAGTATTCTGGCATGATCGTCCTGTAGCTCTTGATATGTGATTTTGATTTCCTCCATATAACGCAGAGGTTCTTGCCTAAATCTCGGTATCCTGAGTAGTCTTTGTACTTGAAAGTATCCAGAAATAGAATCTGGATTACTATCGTACTCGTTTTGGCGTGATTGTGAGCGCAGCCGACTGACATAACGTTCCAACTCGATGCGTGGATCAACAAGAGCCTCAAAGAATAGAGCTACTAATGAGGTCTCTAGTAATTGAAGCTCAAAAGTGATACTGCAGCCTTTTTCTGTTACGGTGTCCAAGTAACGTGTAAGGACTTGCTTATCATGGCTCTTCAAGCCATTATCTGTTTGTCCTAGCCAGCTCTTTGAATCTATCAGTGCATGCTCTATTCTCAAGATTGTACTAACCTGGCATATCATCATGATGTGAAAGGCTGCAACGTCTTCGGGACTGAGCTTTGTACCTGTTTCGTTTTGTGTATCCCTCAATACTTTCAAACTGCTGCCATACTTGGCTAGAACCTGAGATGGGATCTCAGGTGTATAATGATAAGGCAAGGCACTCATCATCAAATCAACTGAAGCATCGAGAGCATGGCTATGACCAAGCCTTGGCGGAATATGCTCTAGAAAATCTCCATAACAGCTGAGGCCATATCGCAGGTCTGTTGTTTCCAGAGCCGCAACAAGTTTGGCTTGCAGAAGAGTTAATGGGCTTTGAGGCTTATGTGAAATGGATACCTGAGCGGGCGTCTCGCGCTTTCGTGGTTTTGAGAAGCTGGTCTTAAATGGCTTGGTGAATGATACGGGCTTGAAGACATATTTCTGTTCACCTGAACCGACACATGGGATTTCAAGTCGAGCACATCTTGAGCAAGCTGGCTTGGCTTGGTCACACTGCTGATGTAAGTACACTCCTTATTCCCTAGCAGGGGTTTGGATCTCTGTATTTACCTTTTTCTTCTGCTTCAGACAAGAGTTACAGCCTCTACTTTTCGGAACGCCAGGCATGATAAACATATAATTTGATATTTCATGCCAACTGAATTATTTACGCCCTGATATAAGTGAGTTTGTTGCCTTTTATGACATTGCATACTGGCTCGTGAGGCGACATGATCCCCACCACAAAGAAGACAGCGCTGGGTAAGACCATGTTGGGAATAGTGGCATGTCCTGGCGCAGATCGCGTGGTGCGTCATATCAGCGATTTGGGTAATTCCTGCCGACCAGACCCTGGTTCTTCAATAGTCTGGTAGCTGAGACCTTTGATCCCGGACCATGATGTTTGATATTGCATAATAGGCTGATCTGGATCTGCCATCGAATGGCGGAGAGGGCAAATGTGAGATTAGAGCCGGAATTCGGGTTTATGAACGGGATTCAGATGACTATGTCCACCTATATGCATCTCTGATATATTCTTTCTTGATCCGTTTTGATTATCGATTATGTGAGACTGCTGATCGGCTCTATGCCTAGCAGTTTCTGGGACAGATCCTTATTACCGATCTTCGAAATCCCCAAGTGACGACACAGGGAAATAGGGCTTATTGTATCGTTCACTGCACCTTTGAAGAATATTCTTTACAAGTAGATCAGGTGATCAAGCTCTAACTGCTAAAAATGTGATGCCACGTCGAACAGCACGACAGCGAACGTTCAGTCCTTGGACTTTTCGCAAAGACAATAACTTGACAAAGATAGACAAAACAAAGGACATTTCTAATAGCAGCTCGTTATTGAATAAAATGTACCATAGAAATATGCCGAATGCTAATTGAAGAAATAACACAATGAGCTGCCAGACTCGAAGGAGGCGTTGCGGCTCTATCGATTCATCTCTATGCACAGTACACCGCAATGAACGAGCCAATCAAAAGTACGGGACATACGCCGGAGCGTTTGATTCAACGAATCATCTCAAGGTAATTCTCATAAATGGGCTCTGGTGGCTCCCAAGGAACGAAGTGCATCATGCTTAAACCACCATGACATCATGTTTCGAACAGAGAAAAGGTACGTCAAAGTTCGTTACCAAGAAACTGGCATGTATGTGAGCCAATAGCGCGTTTTTCTGATCTCACTTCTGTCCAAGCCCTTGTTCACATATCACAATCGTTAAAATCATGTCAGTTTCGGAATTCTACCGAGTTACATCAATTTACCAAACATGATACCCCATAGAACACCAAGTATTTCCGATGCATCGTCATCATCAGCTCAAGAGTCCTCTCAAACAGGCGGCCCTCGACGATTACTCCCAGCCTCTCGTCCCCAGCCTGCTGAAAGCTCTACTCACTATCAAACTGCTCCCCTAGCAAAAAAGCGAGCTCCAACGGCCTTGGCTTGCGAATCGTGCCGACAGAAGAAAATAAAGGTCAGTGTAGACTCTAGGATGGGTATTGTGGCATCAGCTCATCGTCCGATGTAGTGTAACGGAGCTCGTCCTGTATGCTCTCAATGTCGCGCACGGAAATCCGACTGTGTTTACAGAGCGACGCCAGACACAGACTATCGTGGTAAATACGAGGCACTTCTAGAATCACACCCTGCAGCGGTCGTATATCGAGCTATTCAAACAAGGTCACGACCTGAAGCACTTGAAATCGTTCGACGGATTCAATCTGGTGTCGATGCCGAAACTTTGATGCGCCAGCTTTCAAGCGCCGATTTACTCCTCCAAGTACAATTAGAGCCAGAAACAAGATCGCGATATCAGTTTATCTACTCACCGCTCATGCCTACATATCTCCAGACTGAGGATAACCCCTTCATGAGATCTCTTATACATGAGTGGAGCACAAGAGATGATCTTGTCAGTATTGCCTCCCCGGCTTTCACAGACACAGATTTGGGATACAGGGCACAGTATTTGAGACCTCATCATGCAGCAACCATCGTTGACTCTAGACTGGATGAGATAGTACCTTCGAGATGGACTACTGCGGGTGTTAGCGATGATACTATGAGGAAGCTTATACGTGCATATTTCCTTCAAGAATACGACTGGTTCACGTTTTTCCATAAGGACTATTTCTTAGAGGATATGATCAGTGGATCCAATACATTTTGCTCGCCACTTCTCGTCAACGCTATTTTAGCAGTTGGATGCGTGAGTCTCTCACGTATTATGAATCTTACTCTTGCTAACAAGCTATTAGCAATGTCGAAACTATGTATCCGAGCCCGCAGAGTATTGGAACCCCAATAGTCTTGGCTATAAATTCCTCGAAGAAGCGAGAAGGCTATGGATAGTTGAGGTGACGCATAACAGAAGTTTGACAACCCTACAAGCAGCACTTGTTCTAAACACTATCGTCAACATGTTTGATATGGATCCTTTATCATCGGCATTTCTCGTACGGTCAATAGAAATAGCTCATGATTTGGGGTTATTCGAGCCAACAACATACATCATGAACAAGAAGTTGAGAAACTCATATGATCTTACAGCCTGGTCTTTGTTTCACTGGCAATGGTAAGACTATCCTCTTCTGGCCGATTTAGAGCTAACCAAATAGTACATTGAGTTACCAATTTATGACACAGCCGTTGCTGAAAACACCACCAAAAACTCCGCTCCCCGATCCTGACCGCGACCCAGATTGGTTTGGTGAAATATGGCTGAAGTACCCTTCGAGCTCGACACTGGTGCCACTGAAGATTGGCTTAGTCTTTAAAGCAAAGATGACCTTTAGCGTCGTTCTGAACGAGGCCATGCTAGAAGTTGAAAAAGATTCAACTGATTCTTACCTGCGCCAAGATGGGGGTAACAAGATCATTGAGATCGCGGAAAGGTTGGATACATGGTATAAATCGATGCCAGAGCCACTTTCACCGACAAAGATTGTGTCGCCTTCACAACTTAAAATACAGTACGTTGTCCCTGTTTCACTTGGACCCAAGACTCTGAGGGAGAAGTTGAGCTGACAAGTGTTGAATTTCCCCAGTCTCCATTATTGCTATGTTATTGTTCAACTTTACGAAATTCTCGCACTGGGAGGGCAGAGACAAGCCCTAAACCTTCCCATCGAAGAAGAAGTGCTTCAAGAGAGCCTTTCAAGATATCGAGGCTACTTTGAGACTATTCTACGAATTCACTATCTTCGACATAGCTTCGAATACGGAAACATGATGCTAACACGCTTTCTCGCAATGCTAGCATTTCTATCCCTCAACAAAATCGAATCCTTGACGACATCCACCGAGCCGGGACATATCATAACGGGATCTGGATTAGATGTCGGAGACAATGATCCCAAGGAAGCAAGGGCTACGCTTTTGATCGCCCAGAAAGGCCTCAGTGACCAAGGAAGAGGCTATTACCTACCGAAGACATTGTTACGGGATGTTCTGGCGAATATGACGCCGAGTGACGCTACAATTCTTCAGAGCTTTATAACTATTCCACCTGAAGGGCCGGAGAAGACGCAGGAGAGGAAGATGTATATGGAGAGCCATTGTCCTCCGGATATTCTGCGTATAGCGAATGATCCGAACAGGCAGCCGGATGGGAACTGGATTCGGAGCTTTGCGATGTTGACGCTTGGAGAGAATTCTGGACGGTCGATTTTGGGGATGATATCTGGAGGGAGGAAAAGCTAGGCTAGAGATGATCAGACTTGGAAAACGTATAGACAATATAGAATGTTACATCTAGTGAATACTACTAATGCCTTGGGTTGGAATCTCTTGATGGAGCCGCCAACATGAGTATCGGTAACCTGGAGGAAGTGACAATGTTATGTAGATCCGACGACATATGTTTCGCAGACCGCTGATTAACTAACTAGTAACTACGGAAGGAGATCACGGAGCAAAGGCTCAGAAGTAGGGCTATGGCCCAGATACTCTTGGAGCAACTCCAACTCATCTCTGCTTCCGCCAAATTCAAGAATGCCTTTCCTATGCCTATCCCAGGCAGATGCGCTCCTAGGATCCTCAAGAAATGTCGATTAGAAGAGTTCTTCAGCGAATACATGGGCACTAAGAGTATCAAGTCGGCCATTGTTATGTAGCCAGATCTAGGTCAACTCGCCTGAGATATGAGTAGTAGCCCGCATCGTAGCCAGATACCAGATGGCCTAGGTCAGCGTGTGGATATCCTTGGTCTTCTGGCTGAGGCGCACGAACGAGCCACAGCTTCTCTAGCAAGTCAATAAATACTTTGGTAAAGTCCATTTTTAGTAGTTCCGAGTGGCTTTTGGGATGATGAACTGCCATGTCAAACTGGGCGTAAACCCTACGACAAGTGACGTTAGCCATGAAGCTTTTCGAAGGCACAATACTCACATTTGACGAAGATACCATAACGAGCGCGTCACCTGACGACCTTCTATCAACTTCTCAATGGTATCATTGGGTATGCGCCCCGGAGGAAGACCTTCTCCCGGATGCTCTCTAAGCCATTTCTCCTTCAACTGCAGATCGGTTCTCGTGTAATGCAGACCCAGGCGTTTGAGTTCAGGCTTCATCCAGCACCACTTCTCGAGCATTACGCTGAGGGCTTCTGCAAAGTCAGGCGGTGACCTATGGCCGTTAAAGGCTACGTAGTTCGTCCTGGCCAGCAAGTCATGGATGCCATGTCCTAATTCTGACCTGATGAGTCCTGGTGTATTTCGTTTGTTTGTATGTGGTTTCTTACCGTGGAAGAGGGAGATGATCTGACTGTGTTTCAGCAGTGTGCAAGCTGAAGATGTAGATGGTGGAAACGAGCACATTAAAAGGGTTGCTGGGTATACTCGACTGCCATCGCTTTTGAGGTAGCCCTGATGGAACAAAATGTTAGAGATCGGTACTCGTCGAACAAATATGGCTACTTACACATTGGAGGTTGACGTTCTGGCTACCCTTGTACTTGTTATCTCTCGAGAGAAGATCCATATAGAGGTAGCCAATGAATTGACCTTTCGATGCTTCTCTATCATCCCAAACAGAATAAGCTCGCACATCTTCATGCCAGGTTGAGCCTTCGAGTTGGTTCGGGGATATAGGACAGAAACGAATTCACAGGAATTCAGAGAACATCTCCAACATCACAGAGATAACAAATTTTTTTTTTTAAGTTTACATATCAGCCTCGGAAGGTATCCAAGCATCTCCAAAGTCTAGTATAATTTAAACATTACTTACCTCCCAGGTAGCAAAGCTTTATTAAGTCAATATCATTAAAGTTAGCTGCCTCAATCACAGCCTAAACCTAACTACACTCAAGCCAGCTAGAGAGCCTTACAGAGATAACATATTAAAGAGGAAAGTACTCGGCTACCTGCTCAGGGTCAACATATAGGTACTGTTCTGCCAGACAGGCATAATACCAATAGTCCCAAGGATATATCTCCTCAACATCTTTTTCAATGCATTTAGCGCCCTCCATAGACTCATTTTACTTTAAATCTATAAGGAGGTTCATATCTTGCTACCCACAAGCTTGTATTTTATCATGTAAATCGGCCAACAAACCTTCAACCTAAGTCAGGGTCTTCATCAGCCTCTTCTCCAGTCAATAGGCCGCATAACTTTCGTATCCTAATAGACGAGCATTCAGATCTCTTTCAATAACAATCTCCTTAAATAGCTCAGCATTTTGACTGAGATTATTAGCATTGCCAACGTACATTTTTTTTCCGTGTAGCACTCTTGGAGGCATTTCGGTATATGACCAAAGAATCAGATGTTGAAAAGCGAACGAATCGCATGTCATGCTTGTCTGGGTCCTTTCCAAAGCGATCTAAATCATGCTGCTGTACACCTGCTAGTTCATCGATAGAGAACCAAATACCGCCAGTGTCTTCTCTGATTCTCTGATTATACTCTCGCCGCATACTGTCGATGTGATTTCCTCTGTAGGTACTCCTGAATTTGAGCTGGCTGCAAAGTACCGTGTCCAAACTGTTTGAATTCGAGAAACACCTTATCGAGATATTTTCGAGCCTCAAAATGAGGAGAAGTGCCCTGGTTGCCTTTGACAGCTTTTATAAAGCACCAGAAATCAGGTCTAGCTGTAAAGGCAGCTTGATCTTCGTTGATGAGGGTGCATGCTTCCTCTGACGCCTGACGAGATACCTTGTCTGGCGAAGCATAACGGAGCATAGCAATGATGGCAATATCACCTTGAGTTTCGTTATCGATATCAATTAGGGGCTGAATTACGTTGTCGAAGTTGGCTGCTTGTTCGTCGGCACTTTGAATAATGTCTTCTCGAGTAGCCTGATATCGACCGACGATTCGTTTCATGGTGAGAAGAATCTGATCAGCAGGTATGAGCCTAGGTAGAGGCTGGGGCAACGATTTGTAGTCCATTTTATCACCGCAAGCTGGTGAAATGTAAGTATGAGCTTGACTATGCAGACGGCGTACGAACACCATTAATTGAAATGGTGGCAGACCAGCCTTGGCTTGAGGGGGGTGACAGTGAGCCAACCAACCAACAGTTTTAACAGAGATCTACATTTATGATATGATCATTTATCTAAGCAATCTTCTAACCATTCTCAGAGTTGAAATAATATCACTTGGAATGTAATGCCATATCTAGATGTCACGGCAACAAGAGCATTATTACTTGACAACTTTAGTCATGTAGAAATTATCATGTATAAAAACTAGTATCACATGCTCTGTATCGATTAAGGAGGTCTCGGTGGCCTCTTGACCTCAAATCCCTTCTCCTGTACTTTTGGCCTGGGCTTCGTAAATGCGTTTGTAAGCCCAGCAACCAGTGTATTCTTCAATTGCATTCTACCAGTCTCATCACGCCTCAGTCCTGGCGAAAGCCGTGTATTTGTATCTGCATCTGGAGTTGACGTTGATGAGACAAAGACCCTTTCTTCATCAATTCCATAAAACCTGTCAGACTCGCGAAAGGAGTAGTCGATGCCTGGTTGAAGTGCTACTTCCGACAGGGCCAGATCTATGCTAAAGTGCCCTGTGCTAGGACCACTGTTGTCCGTTGTTGGTGATCTTGGGATTGATGAAGCAGTCGCTGGTCGAGGTGCTTGATAAGCAGGGCTTGTTGCTCCTGACCTCGGCGGTCTGAACAGCGTCGATGGATCTGGTTGAAAGTCTCGCCTGGATGGTTCTCTGCTCGGGGCCTGGCGATATTCAAGTAAATCTGCTGTTGAATGTGTTTCAAGAGGATCCATTTGAAAAGACTGGGAAATGAGTTAGCAATGTTCAGAATTTTGGGAGGTTATTCTACTGGGACTTACATTAATTGAGTCTGACCCTCCGCTAGTGGAGTGAGATGAAGAGTTCTGATCGACAGGTGTACCTCTAAGTATTGTCTTATACAACTTCCAGGTGTGGTCGATCAAGAATCCTATCAGGATGACCAGTCCATGGAGAGCCAATACCACATAACCAACCGACTGCCTTGTGGCTTCGGTTATAGGCATAGCAAATACACCGATAAGGAACAAAATGACCAATCGCACGACCGATATGTAAATTGCAGTTGATAATTTTATCCGCATGCTTCGTCTAGAATTTAGTTGCGAAACAATGATGAAAGCTTCGCAAGCAATTAACATGAAGAGCTGGGCTAGAGGAAAGTCTTGAAGACTCCCAACGCCGACGGCCTGTAAAAGCGGCATTGTATGGGGTATATGACGAGAAAGTAGGCTCCATAGTGTATGAAAATCCATATTAGGTTTATTCGTTTCCAATCGGCTGGCACGCGGTGGTTTCAGTTGCTCGGCCGCTTCGTCATCCAGCACTCGGACGAGAAAGTGCCCGGCTGCAAGTATTATGAGTAGCATTACGACAGCTAAGCCAATGCGGTAGTTTGGCAGGTAGCCGACAAGAATAAGATCGTATGAGATGTAAGAGAGTAACGGCACACTGAAGAAGCAAAGTGCAACGCCAATAGTTGCCGAGGCTGCCTTCTGGAGTACCGAAAGAAAAGAGAGGGAATGCACCGAGTTTGAACGAGAGAAGGTCCAAAATGAGACTAATAAGAGAAAAAACATCGGCAAAATCAAAATGATCAGGTTGATCAGGGAGTTTGCTAAGGTATTAAGCATGTTTGGGTAACGAAGCATCTGTGTCATGAAACCAAGTCCATAAGAAGCATTGCTGGTGTACATACCACCAGTCGGACCCTCATACATATATCCACTGCTGAATGGACCTGACCAGTATAGTAAAGAGGCCCAGGAGAGTTTGCTCACTGCAGGAACAAAGAATCCAGGATATTCGATGGTCATCGAAGCCGTTATGAAAGCGAACTGCAGGTAGCGAAGGTAGCTTGTTATTTCCAAAACGACTGACCACAGCAAACTGGAATTGAGGTTATGGGCATAGGCGAGACTGCTTTGGTTTACTCGCCATGATGAGAGAGCGACGATTATCAGAATGGCAAGCGGCACGAATGTCAAAACTGCTGATATGCTGTCGCCCAAGTATGGGGTTATTTTCGCTTTGCCGCAGTCTAATTCCTGGCCATCGGTTTGTCTGAAGCGGAACGTTGACGCGAGAGTTTGGAATTGATGTGTGCTTTGAAAGCTGTAAAGCAGATGATAGGAACTGAAACGCGTCTTTTCAATTCTACTCGTCCAATTAGAATCCTGACAAGCCCATGAGATACACAGATTACACTTACGGAGTCAAAGCATCAGTGATAGGTAATGGACAATTGCTCGAGAAATTCTCCAACTTTCCAACTGAGTGGCCAAGGACTTGAAAATCAATCGAGTTTCTGAGTGAAGAAACATCAATATCTTCACAACTCATGAGGGATGCATTATGGACCGCGAGGATATTCAACTCCAAGCTCGCAGTCCGAGTATCTGCATCGGTATTCCATGATCCTCGAAAGCTGTCAATCCAAAAGGGATTGATCTCAATGGAACCTATGCCTTGATAGCCACGGCTGCATGGATACTTTCGAACCCAAGGCTTACTCTCCCAGATCTGCTCAGCTGAAGCCGGTAGCGTCTCGCTTAGTAAAGCGAGTAAGAGACATGACCGAAAGATATTGCAGTAGTTCTTCGAAGGCATATCAAACAATCATGGCCTCACTTTATAAGAAGATACTGCAGTTTAAAGAAGGTCAATAAGCACGAGAAAAAAGTTGATTTGCTTTACTCCGTATTTGGTAAGCAGACGTCGCGTCAAAGTTTTGGGTTCCATAAAAGGGGCTATCATTGGCCAATGGCGAAGCACAGCTTATGAAAAGCTTATTCTATTTTAAGGTCTCTAACGGCGATAAGTCGGATATAGTAAAACCTTGCTCCTACAAGGTCTTGATAGAAAATTATACTTAAAAGTAATAACAATTTCAATTAAAAAGGGGATATAATTATTCAAGATATTGAGAGTGGTATGGACGGGAAGCAATGAACAACTCCTTGAAGTGGTGACTTTGGGTAGTAGGGCTCGGCAATTAATCATATTAGGCTCTCACGGAGTAATTCAAGACTCTCTCAGATTGGACAAGACAGAAGGACCTTTCGTGTAGCTTGATAACACACTAGTACCTATTCACCAATTTCGCTATCTAAGCGTGCATTCTGGCTTTACGAGCGTGGAGTGGTGGACTCTGCTGGGGGACTAAGATAAGCTGTCCGTGATGGTGCAGTCTTCTTCTGTTTCACTGAATATGCTGCATTTTATAACACAGGATTCTAAAGCAGAGCGCTGTTGTATCTACCTGAACAGTTTCTTCATAGTCAGCGGTTCTGTAGGGGATGTTGAGCGCTCTCGCTACTCTTGCAGGCGTGCAATTCAATATTTGACCACAGCAAGACAACTTAGTGTCCTCCTTTTCGAAGTTCTCCTCATTTTCCTCATTCCCAGTTCTCGCCTCTTCTACTCCAGTCTTGCTACACGTGCTCTAGGATCCCCATAGCCCCGCTTACGGCCTTCAAGTGGTGACGCAATTCTAGTTCGTCAAGATGTATAATCTCCAAGAGGCTCGGAAAATCCTCAGCCCATGTGTATGCGGAGGGAACACGAACCGCTGTGTATCTGCATCGTTGTTATTCCCTAGCTTATGCTACATCCCGCAGATTATCAAAAGTCCACGCCATCAGCGCAATGGCCGCACCAGGCACAGTCTTTGTCGCAAAGACTCCAGTCTTCGTCGCCCAGACCCGACACGTACGACTTCCCGTACTCATTAACCCTTAGCTGTGGCACTTCCGAACCGGTTCCACGACTCAACCTCGTCCCCATTCGCCCTTTTCCCTTCTTCCCCTTATGTTTGATCGACTCTCCGGCTCTCACGAATTGGATGGGTGGATAACGAGACGAGAACGGCACAGGGCCATTATTCGACGACGGCTGCTCGAGAAATAAAGATGATGATTAGTAAATATGAACCTTGCTTGTAGTAGGATGGTTCTGGATCTTACACTACTGGCTTGGCCTCTGGATAAGGTATGATCGCTCGATGCAGATGGCTCCACGCTTTGTCGATGTTTCGGCGAGTCCCGCTTGTGCTGGGCCAGGGCGCTTTCGCCCTTGACGCTCTTCCCGCATTCGCAAACTACGTTATCCATGATTAGATTTGAGGCCGTGGTTAGTTGTGGGCTAGGAGTGTTATTTGCAGTTCAGACTTGTGACTGAGAGCTTATTCCGGCAGAGAGAACCTAGTATGGACAGGTCAGGAGCGGGGTGTCTCGCGCTGGATTGGCGAAGCAGTGGGTACGGCTCTTTCGAAGGGTGTTGGTCATTGTACGTGAGCCTTGACGAATAGGCGCCAGGCATCTTCGACATATGAGAACCCCGCTTGATTTCTCGATGCTGCCCAACCAAGCCCAACGTTTGCCCATGCTGAACTCGGAGTCTGTAATTAAACCCTTTGAGGTATACAGTTACAAGGTCTGGATTACCTAATAACCCGCTATCCGAGAGGGCTGAGATTCTCACGTATCACAGACTCACTGTTTGTGGCTGCGCTCGAGGTCATCAGAGGCTGAGCTTGTACTACTCCCCTGTGGCAAATAACGCTATACAATAAGGGGAAAGCCACCGACACAGTCATCAAGACATTTCATAGCATAGGTGTACATTAATACTAATAGCTACGGTGCCAAGGTGTATGTGATAAAGAATAATAATATAAAGAAGCTATCTACTCTCCAAGATGAAACAGCCTCTTATATAAAGCTATCTATTGCGTTGGAGAGCAATACAAAACAAGAATGTAATCGAATGGGAGGAAAAGTGGAACAAAAACGCTTTACCGAAGTAAATATAATCAACATAAGTCTGCAACTCTGTCGATACAAGTCCTTCGAGCTCCAACTTATAGGTTCCTCATACCTAAGCAACAAGGTACTAGCTTAGAAGAAGGTCAGAATAACACTCCCAGGAGCTGTTTCTGTTTGCCAAGTCTCGGAGACGTCAAGGCCAGGTGCAGCATAACTTGCTCCGCCACCGCCGGGAGAGCCTGCTATCTCACCAGTATAAATCGTGGAACCAGCTCCGTATGCGGTTTCGTTCTGATGCCATCCACTAGCACCACCACCTCCTCCAAAGTAGCCACCGCCACCACCTCCGCCGCCTCCTGCAAGACCTGTATGATTAGCAGTACCGCCATCACCTCCATTCTGACCGTTTCCTGGCTGGCCTGCAACGAAGCCGAGATAGACTCCAGAGACGTAATCACCTGCAGCACCGGGACCAGAGGTAGTACCAGCTTTGCCTCCACCCATGGTAAGCATAGTCGCAATTCCACTGCCCGGCTTGAGGTATTGATTAATGGATAAGTCCCAGCCGTCAGAGCCCTGAACACCAGTGATACTCCCGCCCCTGCTTACATCCACAAAGTCAGATCTGTAAGTGTAGTATCGTTGGTCGCCTGACAAGTGCCACTCATAGGCTGAATAGCAACCTCCTCCGCCACCAGCCACGACAACCAAGTTTCCCCCGACGAAGAGTGCTGATCCTGCACCGCCAGTTCCGCCATTTTGAGTGGCATTGCCACCGTTGCCATAGCCCTCTCCAGGGTAACCTATTCCTGTGCCAGAGCCTAAGCCTTGGCCTCCAGCTATAGCCTGGATTGACTGCCCCGGTACAACTGGCATGGAACCTTGCAAGATGGCTCCATTACCCCCTGAACCACCTCTTGGATTTCCGGAACCACCAGTAACACTGAAAGCCATGCTCGTGGCACAGGCGGGTACCTGGAAATTGGCCGATCCTGACGAATTGAGGGTTGCGCTAACGGTGGTTGATCCTGATACCACAGAGCACTCAGAAGTAGAAGTTGTAGTACCACCACTGGTCGCTAAGCTGGTAGTCAGATCAGTTGCAGTAGCCTCAGTGGTAAAAGTGGTTCGCTGAGAAGTAGTCGAAATAACACTAGTAGTAGTGCCATCGCTGGTTACTGGGGTAGTAGCCAGATCAGTTGCAGTAGCCTCAGTGGTAAAAGTGGTTCGCTGAGAAGTAGTCGAAATAACACTAGTAGTAGTGCCATCGCTGGTTACTGGGGTAGTAGCCAGATCAGTTGTAGGAGCCTCAGAGGTAAAAGTGGTTTGCTGAGAAGTCGTCGAAGATATACCAGTAGTAGTGCCACCACTGGTTACTGGGGTAATGGTTAGATCACCTGTGGTAGACTCAGAGGTAAAAGTAGCTTGCGGAGAAGTAGTCGAAGTAATGACAATAGGAGTGCCCTCACTGGTTACTGGAAGGGTAGCCTGATCAGTTGTACTAAGCTCGGAAGCAACAGTAGTTTTCTGAGGAGTAGTAAAAGTAACGACAGTAATAGTACCGCCGCTGGTTGCAGGTAGGGTAGTAAGGCCAGTTGTACTAGCCTCATAAGTAACGGTAGTTCGAGGGGGAGTAGTGTATGTGACAATAGTTGTAGTGCCGCCGCTTGTTGCCGGAAGTGTTGCCAAGCCAGTGGTTGATGCAGTTAAAGTCTCGGTGGTAAGACCACCGGTTCCAGGTAGTGTTACAAATGTGACAATAGTTGTAGTTCCGCCGGAGGTAGCAGGCAAGGTAGTTAAACCAGTAGTAGAAGCTGTGGAAGTCTCAGTTGTAAGGCCACCAGTTTCAGGGGGTGTCACAAATGTGATGATAGTTGTAGTTCCGCCTAAGGTCGCGGGTAAGGTAGTAAGACCAGTGGTGGAAGCTGTGGAGGTCTCAGTAGTAAGACCACCGCCGGGGGTGACATAGGTGATAATAGTCGTAGTGCCACCTTCAGTAGCAGGAAGAGTAGTTAGACCAGTGGTAGAAGCAGTCAAAGTCTCGGTTGTGAGGCCACCTCCGGGGAGTGTCACAAATGTGACGATAGTTGTGGTGCCGCCACTTGTTGCTGGAAGAGTAGTTAGACCAGTGGTAGAAGCAGTTGAAGTCTCAGTGGTGACATGGGTAACGACAGTAGTGGTACCACTCGTCGCGGGAAGTGTTGTGAGACCAGTAGTAGAAGCGGTTGAAGTCAACGTAGTTAAGCCGCCAGTTTCGACTGAAGATGGCGTAACATACGTGACAATAGTTGTAGTGCCACCAGTCGTGGCGGGAAGTGTTGTCAGACCCGTGGTTGATGCAGTTGAAGTCACAGTGATGAGGCCTCCGCCAGGGGTTGTATACGTAACAACTGTAGTAGTGCCGCCTGAGGTAGCAGGTAAGGTAGTTAGACCAGTAGTGGTACCCTGCCTAGTGATTGTAGTAAGACCTCCTGCTGGCGCTGATGTTGTATGGGTCCCAGTAGTAGTTGGTCCACCACTAGAGACAGGCAAGGTGGCTAGACTAGTTGCTGTTCCTGTCGTCGTAGTTGCAGTAATCAGGGGAGGCCCTGTGGCAGTGGTAATGACAGTAGTAGTACCACCGCTGGTCGCAGGCAGGGTAGTAATGCCAGTTGCGGTCCCAGTAGTCGTGATTGTAGTAACAAGTCCGCTGGCTGGTGAGGATGTGGCTGGGGGAGTAATCACTGTGACTGTGCAGTCGCTACATCCCGAAGTAGGGTTGATAGTCGTGGTGCTTGACAGTGTGCCAGTTACGGTCACCGTTTCCTGGCCCGGACAGGTAAAGACTGTAGTCTTACCTCCTGATGAAGCCGGGGGGACTGTAGTGATCCAAGGGGCGGTTCCGCTGACAGTAACAGTAACGCATTCGTGGCATGCAGGTGCTGTTACAGTCTTGCGCCCGGAGCAGGTAAAGACAGTAGTCCTTCCTCCGGCCGAAGCAGGGGGAACTGTAGTGACATAAGGAATGGGGCCGGTGGTAGTGATAGTAATACAGTTGATGCAGGGACCTGGGACTCCGGGAGAGGTAGGTGAACCAGGGTTATGCTGTTGAGAAGGAACCAGAGTCTGGGCAGACCATGAGTTATCCGTATAAGTGCGTGTAATAGTCGTGGTAGATGTTCTACCATCATGCACAATGGCATAAGGCTGGAGCACAACATCAGTCCTATCGGCTTTACAAGCTTCTGGCGCAGGGGCAGCGAAAACGCTGCCCACAAGGCCTAAAGCCACATTTATAGTGAGACGCATGGCTTGAGCGCTATAGCGGAAACGAGTGAATGTTGAGAAGCCCAGCAGTAGAGGCGTAAGGAATGAATGAATGAGTGAGTGAATAAATGAGTGGATGTAAAGAGTGTGATGATGTTTGAGATTCTCATTCACTCTTCTTTTTCTTATAATTTCGTTGTTACTTCCAACAAAATGTGTCCATCGTCTAAAGCCAGGTGAGGATCAGTCATGGTCCCCTTTCGCGGCAGGGTCACAGGGAAACCTCAGCTGAGGCTGGATCTTGGTAAACCAGCTGCTAAATGTAGTAAGTCTGAACTCACCTTGGGTTCGAGGTTGAGGCTACGGACTAGCGCACGGGATGTGTTAGGGGTATCGTAACATGCGCCTCTCTAAGTACAGTCCACATCGCTTATGAAAAAAAGAATTATTGCACGAAACTAAGCACTTGACTACGTGCCGCTTTGTCTATCTGTAGTATCTGTGGCTTACATGTGGATCAGAGAATCCCAATTATTGAACCTTGTTGCTGACCCCCCTGCGTTGTATTGCGGGCATGCCTGTGCCGTTGCTTTAGTTCAAGGAGTAAATAATAAGTCCAATGTATGGGAACCTTGAGAGGCTGGGGTGTTGTCCCTTAGCTTAGAGGACAAATAACATGGTTAACCTCCTTGAATATCGGGGGGGATTTCCCATTCCGACACATACTCTGATTAAGAGGCATGTAGTAAGAAATAAACCATGAAGTTCACGTGACAGGGAACTATAATATAACAGCCTAGTTATTGGCCTTTACTAAATCAAATCCTCAAACTTTACACTCGTTTATACCCCCTGACATCAAGCAGACACTATGAAACATTCGTCTGTCTTTCTTTTCTGTTCGCTCCTTCTCGGAGTAGCTTCGAGCAGTGAGCTCTCTGCAGACTGCATCTCGACACATCTGCTCCCTATCATCACCACCTCTTCTTCTGCGCCTGTTCTGACTGAATTGGCGCCTGGAGCAATGCCTGCGGTTCCCACTCCTGGTGCAAACAAGGCAGCAGAATCTGGATCTGAGCCTGTTTCTGGCCTGGTCAATCCCAGCAACGCCAGCCCTGCATCGGTTGAGCCAGATTCCCCCAGCGTCGGCGTTTTGTCAATCAAAGGCTCGGGCTATGTGAACCCGACTGACACTGTCCCTACGCCATCCTCGTCTGCTAGTCCCGATTACGTGTCTGGGGCCCCCGACAACATTGTTAGCAACATTAGCAGAGCTATGTACCTGGCGGGCTCTATTAGTTTGATCGTTCACTTGGCCGGCTTAGTCTGATTGAATTACCAGCTGTGTGTTAGGCGTGACAGCCATGAAACCAGTCAAAAATAGGTAGCTAGCTTACTGAACCAACGGACAATAGCGATGATCAATCAGTGGCCTTGGTCATAACGCGGCTCTATTCCTGTATTTTCCTTCTTTTACTGTCTTTTTACTACAGTTCCCTGTATTTGAAAGAATTTAAATATAAATCCATTACTCTTGTACGGAATGAATCTGATAATGTAGTATGGTCTGCTATCTTATGTGCAGTGTTCTTGGTTGAGAGGTTTGGTTTACCAATTCATAGACTGGGAGCCTTGGAGATGTACTGCAGATAACTAGTACAGGCTGTTCAAATACGACTTCATTTATTGTAACCTCAGCTTCTATTTGAAAGCTCCTGTGATAAATGTCATAATAAAAACGCCGGAGGTTACGGTGTGTCTCATTTCATTTCAGTTGAATATTCACCACTTTGATATGGACCTGTACACATCAAGTTTTAATTAACCAATGATATGGCCTATATGATGACGCTTGGGTGTTTTTTCAGCTGACACTGGCACGATGTCTGAATGTCGTCTCAGGCAAAAGGATCGATAGGCGCCTGGCTGTTACTTCTTCGGGATCGACAGCAGCCCATGAGCTTGATTGGGACAAAAGTATGACATCAAATGAAGAAGGTGTAAGCCCCTGCCCGCTAGCTTACACCCAAACCAGTCTAGTCAGTCTCTTATTCTCCCTTTTAGGCTGCTTTGGTCTAAAAATGGAAATCTTCCCCTTGATAGTGATAGCGTGCCATGGCTCGTTCGGAGCCGAGTCGTAGATCATATGGGGCAAGTTCGGAGTTGGCGGTGGACAGCGATACATACCCCTCATCAGATCTCCGTCGCCCGATTGGCTACTCATTCTCCCACGCTACGAGTGATATGCTTGTGGTCTTTCGGCATTGTGTTTCGGGTGGCCGTCGTTGTGGGGACCAAAGGGGCCTTCTGTTTCCCCTGTCGGTGCAAGGTTCACGGGGCGTTAACCATAGGCCCAACAAGATTCAACAATGTTAGTCTCTGCCAAGAAGAGAGAATCGATGGTGGAGAGTTACCTTGATCGTAGCAGATATTGCGTCAATGAATCTGGTGCACAAGTGCAACGTATGTTCTGACAAGTGGTGTTCAGAGTTGATCTAGCTGAGAGGTGACACTGACCCCCGGTGTTGCCTCCGTGTAGCACCGCTTCTCGGTAAGAAGCTTGATCCTTATGGGGCAGTACACCTTGGACTAACCCTTCGGCATAGCATCGGAAATCGGCGGTTCGCGGTGTCTTCCGTGGACCGATATTATTGTTTGGCACGTGGTTGCTGGGGACATAATGACGGCCAATTCTTTGTGATATAGTTTCGCGTATTAAGCTGATGAGCCACTGACGTTATCCCGTGGATCAAAAATAGGAAGTGTTTCCGAATCAGAGCGGTACCGTAACAGTTACCTAGTTTGAGTGAGCTTGCAGCTGCTCTAGCTCGGTGGCTGTTTCAAAGGGTGTGTAAGCGCCCCTTCTTTGGACCTGGGCTTCCTGAGTGAGCTTAGTGTCCTGAAGAGTTTTGTCAGCCTCCTGACTACATGCGCCAAGCCTGGATCCAGAGATTGAAGAGGAATTACTGGAGTAGCAGCGTTGTCGAAGAAGCAATGATTCAAACACTTTTAGAGTAGCTCGAATTTGATGAATACCTCTGGAATAGGTCGTCCTCACTCTTGGATTAGGAGATTCGAGTGTTGAGAGAATTTGCCACATGTTTGGAGCTACTCGACGCTTTAAATGCAAATGACCCAGGCTATTCAAAGGTTCAATCAAAGATTTGATCGAGGAATATTAGCAACCCTGGCTCTAGTAACAAAGTCAGCTGAAACCCCCACCCCCCTAGCAAGTATCATACTCTTCTGGACCCAAAGGTGCCTTCAGTGTCCCTCTCAGGAGACAAGAACCGAGGAGCTTAGCGGTCAGGGGCTCAGGATGGCCCAAGACATCTGCTCCTTTTGAGACGGACCCGGGCTTCTCGGTGAATGCTGAATATGGCTCTTCATCTGATTGACTCAACTTGGCTTTTGCCGTTTACGATTATTCAGATCCTTGAGTGATACGGAGTTCATCACAGCTCTTACACCTAAACCCCTGTATTTTTTGCGGCGTGGCCGGACTCACCATTAGCCCAAGTTTAACCGGATGCCGGACCGACTATAGGCTTTAGGGCACTGACAGCGGGAAGTCCACTAGTGTTCCTTGTAAAAGCTTGTACGTAGTTCTAGTTCTCTAATTGGCCAGAGAGTGCCTCTAAGGTTCTGGGGTTCAAGTTTAGTTCCGCTTACCCGTCTATCCGCCTATGCGTTGCCTTGTTCATTCAGTTTGAGAACGGCCTTCCTCGTAACCATAATGGCAACGCTAGCCTGTAAGTATACAAGGCTTTATTCACCTCTAGTACATAAGAGCGTTAAGGGGTGTTAAGCTATCCCTTAGGCAGGTGGGGAATAGGGTGAAAAACGTGCTCAATAAGCCTCAGTGTTACGGTGACCCGACTGTTTAGTATCCTACTAGAGGCTGCCAATGAGCATATCATCTAGCTGAATGTCAGATTAGACTGTAGCCAGCCCCGAATGATAACCCACCAATCATCTGAGTTTTTCTCCGGCCGCTCCGCTTTGTCCTGCTGATCTATCACGCTAAGGCTGATGCCCTGTTGACCATCTACCACAGTCAGTCGTCTTAGTGGTACTCAGTGCTGAAAACTCTACGGAGTACGGCTTAAGTCCTTTCAGGAGCGCATTGTAGGGTCGGTGGCGAGGTCAAAAACACAGCTTGGATATGTTCTCTGCGCGAATAATATAGAAGCCACTACAAGCAGAATTATGTTTAGGTACATTGAAGATAAATTAGGTAGAATAATCGCTTATGTCTTTCTGGCATCCAACTTGGTGTTACATGAAACAAATTCTATTTCGCCGTCAAGTTTCTCCTTTTGAACGTTCAGGATTGTCTCGGCATGGGGAATATAATGAACGCCACTAGAGATTGCAGGACGGCGACGGGCATGTAGTTTGCGATGCGCGTTCAAGTTGTCAGCGCGGTTAAAGGTGTTTTTGCCACAAAACTCGCAAGTCAAGCGTATTCCCTTACCCAAGTGCTTTCTATACATATAGGTAATTAGCTTCTCGCCCCTGAGGCTGTTCTGTAACTCACGAGATATGGTGACGTTTGGCGTGTTCCTTTCGCTTGAAACGCATGCGGCAGCCCGGATACGGGCACGGATAACGGTGGAAGTAGTCTAGCGGCAAGTTCTCCTTCAACGATGAAGGTTGAGTTGAGGCTTCGCTTGCAGCATGTTGTTTGGTTTCTGAAGCAGCGGTCTCCTTCGAATTATGTGACCTGAAATCGGACGTGTCGGAAGAAGAATGTGACTCGCGTCTAAGCAATTCAGGCGACCATTCTTGAGTGGGCATGTAGTCCACATAACCCCACGGAGGGTATGTCGGGACCTCACTGACAACAGGAGGCGTAAGTGGCCCGTATAGTTGATGGGGCTGGTCGAACAGCATGCTATTGGCAATATAACGAAAGTCGACCTCGTTACCGGGTCCATGCTGGAATGCGGACCTCTGATCGACGAAATGACCGTCCGCGGTGGGGCCAAAGTTGAAACCCATGTCCATGTCGCATTGGCCAACAGAGTAGCCACTGAAGTAGGGGGCGGCCACGGCATTGTACGCAGGAAGAGGCTGCTGTGGAACTTCATGCAAAACATCACTTGGAGAGTGAGACCTGGGTGATACAGAACCCCCGTGTCCTCTAATGAAACAGTCAACAAGGAACCTTTCCTTTTGCCGGGTAGTACTGTGTCACTCACTGACTGACGTCTGTCCAGCCTGGCAGGTCGAGGCCCGGAGATCCTAAACTCAAGGGCTGCCCTGAGACAAGCAACAGCTGCTGATCGACATTGAATGAATCCATGATAAACGCAAGGGAGTGCTGGCGAGCGAGACACATGATGCGAAGGCCAAGGGATGTTACGTCTTTATGGATCTGCATTCCCGCTGTGGATTTATTTGCGAATTCGTAAAAGACCAATGCAAGGCACAAGGGACCTGCATATCACCTGGGCTCCCGAGTCTAGATCGGCGAGAGGCCTTGCACACCGGGAAGCTGGACGATCGTAAACAGTCCACTGAACCCAAAGAAAGGCCAAAGGTTTCGATTCGCACAGCACACCGAGATAAACATCCTTGACGCCATTGCCAAGGGGTAGTCGCCTCGTTTCAGGGCGAACCTTCATCAATGACAAGCAAGCAAGTACTCAGAAACGCCAATAATGAAGATCAGCCCGCTTCTCCAGTAGTAGGTGGAGTCTACGGGACGGGTTTCAGGGCTGGCTTTGACCGCGGTTGGGAGCTACCATGAGAAGCTTACTGCATACAGTATCTATTATCCTGGTGGTGGATTTTATTTAGAGCCGACGGGAGAAACGAACCAGGTACAGGGGCATGTATACCGGGTTTGATAACGCCCACTAATAAAGCCATCTCGCCCTAACAGCCAAGATGGGCTGATGTACCCCAAGCTTTCAGCTGTCATCTGCTTGCCGGACAAGACTACCCAGCTAACACCTTGATGACTTGCATATATTGGTTGGCTTAGTAGGACAATAGAGTTCTGCATGCCCAATTGAGGATCCCACGCGCGTGCCCGACATCCGAGAGCCGGATCGAACGGGAACGGGGCGGAACCCTCGCCGTCCCCCAGCATATCTGAGTATCCGTCAGACTCGTGATTGACATACGTGAAGGAATAGCCTCAGATGAATATTGTTGGTCTTCAATATGTGTAGAACCTGGACAAGTTTGAGTTTTCTCAGCAGCGTGGGAAACTCACGTTGCTTTTCCATAATACATTAACAGAGCCATACTGTCTCAGAATATACTTTGTACCCCCTCATACTAGCTCATTGCGGGAGGTAGATGACAGATCTTATCGCTTTGCTGATTAGTTTCAAGCTACCACGGACTCGCCATAACCGAGCCGAGTCATCATACTAACTGCCGTCGTGCCAAAGCGTTTCAAGTGGCGTCCTACCCCTGCCTTGGGCGTTAGCATATCAAATTTATACTCAGTCGACGATATCCTTTCGAGACCGAGGGTGCTTAATGTAAGCACTTAGAAGGCTCCAACTAATCAGATGCACCATATGAAGTGTATTTCTGTTTAAAGATTAATATAAGTTGTTCACCCTCGGATTTTAAGGGACAAGCAAAAAAGAAAGAAAGAAAAAAGCATTCAGAAATAGAAAACGGTTGCAAAAGTAATAAAAGGGAAATCTCAATCAAAAGCGATTGTAAGTAAGAATATCATAATAGTTCCACCGAATCCCGGCATCCAGTGAAGTTCAATTCCAGTTGCCTTTTAACTGTATTTATACTAGCTCAGGGTGTTGCTGAAGATTATCATAGGAGATCGGCTACTCCCGATACGGGGTACGGCATGAGGCTAGTCAACATGACAGCGCCTTGACCTCCGCGGAGATGCTTGATCCTCTAAAGGCAACGACAGGAATACCTACCGGCGGGTCCAGAAGCTTAGGTAGTGCTGTTGGAGCTTGCAGAAGTGGCTTGAGGCTCGGCAGCAACGGATTCAGAGCCGTGTTGATGATTTCCAGTGGCAGATTGTCCTCCAGGCTGGCCAGACCGATCATTGCCAGATTGACCATCGATGGTCTGGTCTTTGATCCCGGTGGTATTCTAGCTGAGCAAGCACTTAGTGTCAGTGCAATTGTATAGCAGTTGCAGATAGTATCCAGGTCATTCCCCTTATCACTTAACTTCCCGTAAATCCACTCAAGAAGTCTCCCGTTGTCCTTCGCAAACAACTTCCGTTATTCATTGCATATAACATCATCCAACCCAGGTATCTTTCTCATCCATCTTGCCAACAGCACATCCCCAATCTTCAAGGACTTTTAGACACAGTAAAGGTATTAATCAGTATCAATTCAAACAGGGCTTAATTTCGACATAAGCTGTGCGACGTGTACTGGCTTTGAGGTGCGGTCCTTGGGCTGTACTGGTGTCTGGCCAGTTTCAACTCTAGGTCGCAGCCTCGCTGCATTGGGTATCTCAATAACAATCTGTTTAGTACCCGTCCGGATAAACACCTCCCTACGTGCACTCCCTTGTCCAATATGACTTTTAACCATTCCAGTGTTGCTTTTCCCCCGTCCAGTGCTACTTTCTCCCTGTCCGAAATGGTTTTCTCTAGCCTTTTGGCTTCGCAGCGCAATCTCTTCATCAGATTGTAGTCTCTTTCCTTTCCCAGGGATTCGAACTGCCCGAAAGCCCGGTCTGTTCTTCCTCCTGCCTTTCCAGCAGAGATGCCCCAGGTATGACTTGAAGCTGGGTAAACAGGCTGATACTATTCCCATTGATGCCTCGACTGAAGACCAGATAGCAACTGAACCCATAGTCCACGTGGTATCGATCGCCTTGGTCCAGGTAATCAGGTAATGAAGACGTATACCAGAAGCGATACAGACTCTAAAATCTATTAGTAACAGTCGAAATAAGACACACTCAAAATAAAACACTTATTATAACTTACAAGCCCCCAAGTGCCAAGACAGTAAACACTGTAACCTTCCTCTCCCTGCTCATTTGAAGTTTAACTACTTCGGGAACCGGGATCAATACCAGGATTATATTTATAGAGAGACTAATAAAAGCCAATATAACAAAGAATTGGCCAATATTGATGCAAGTGCCCTCTGTTCCCTTGTACTGTGTCCAAAAGTGCGATATTGGTGCACAGCCCAACACCATTAAAAATATAAATGTCAGTAGATGCGATACCGTAAGAATGGTTCCAAACCAAAATATGACTTGGAATGAGAGACCGGTGCCTCCGCGAAATATCCGTCGATAGAGGAGGAGAATAGAAGCCTTTGTTGTAAAGATAGAAGTTGCGTAGGCGAAACCGTATATATATGAGAGCTGTTGATGTATGGCGTCAGTATAAGAAACTTAGGTGGCTGTGTGATTAACCCTTGATATCTCAACGATCTCATTTATCGTGAGTGCCCAAACATGTTTCCCCGCACCGGCTCGGCCAACTGCTGATGTTAGGAACTACCAAGCAAATGCTTTATAGATGTAGACTTACTAACGACCACTATAGCAGCTGTAATGGCCACAAAAAGCCATGATACACTAATAGTGTAGTCATCCAAGCTCAAATGGGACTGCTGTGTCCGAATAGCGATTCTACCCGCTAAGAATAAAGCAGAGATACATAACATCGAGAGAACAATGGTAGTATTCTTTATCTCTTGGTTTGCCGAGAGATCAATGCCCTCAGGGGGACGGCCGAAGATAGCAACCACCATGGGGTCAATCTCCATTCTGAAATAATATAAGTTGAACATTGAGACTTGAGATTTGAGTGAGGCATACAAGACTTAATAAAAATCACAGTAACACCACGCTACATGAGTGAATTCGTCTACTAGCCTCGGGATCCACGGCTGGTGGTGTCTCCGGGTTTATTGAATGAGTCTAAGACAAGCGGGCCTTCCAGGGATCGCTTGGCCACATTTTGACACTTGGGTTTCTATTAAGTTTCGAATCATGCCTAATCTGGTCAAACATGCCTTCATCTAGGATCGTTTGTGGCAGAAATGGAGTTGCTACCGGAAAGCTTAGCGGATCTGACAGTCCACAAATTGCGATTTTCATCTTGACTCTTCTCAGCTTCCACATTAGGAAGCGAGTTCCACTGTCACCCAGGCTCCAACATCTTCTCCGTATAACTCACAGACTGGCCGTGTACTTCTAAGTTGTGTAAGTACTACCATGCTGAATGTCGATCTTGATGATCCCTATCAACATTCAGCTCCTCTCTGGTTGGATCTTCTTGAAACATACTAGCCTTAACACTAAGCAACGTTACAGCGTATAACATGTAACAGAGGACTGCTAATATGCCACACCACAGATCCTCGGCGATGATGTGATGAATATTAAAGTTTAGATCATTTGTGTTTAGTAAGTGCTTCAATAACCTAGATAGGCAAGATTGGATTTATGTTAGTGTGGCGGAACACGTGTACATTATCTTAGCCCCTGATATGGGACAATGAGTCGAAGTTCCCTCTTCTGAGCTAGTTCCAGGCTTTTAAAAGTGACAGGTACTAACCTTGGTAGCCCCTTTTGCTGCAGGGATTCAGGTTTCTTGGACGATTGTATGTTGGATAATCAAACCGAAGCAAGCAGTTGATCAGATTCGATTATCGGGACTTTTCAATCACACACCTCACTTCGCTCATGTAGTCTTATGATAGAATGTCGCAATATGTAACACACCTATGAGTTGAGACGGTATTGATGTCTAAGTTGTGAGCTAGAAGTGTTCTTTGCAGTTGAGACTTGTGTCTGGGAGTTTATACCAGCAGAGAGAACTTAGTGCGCGGAATGCGATGGCTCCGGGAAAAGCTCAGCTCTGAACAACACTTCTCAAAACACACTTGGACATAATATCAAACTGCTGAAACCATAGCCCGTATCGTACCTAACCTTAGAGTTCAACTGATCAAAGCACACAATGCGGTTCTACAATCTCCGAAACAATGGTATCACCTCCTTTGGAGAGTGAGGTCTCTTAGCATTGTCTAGAATTGGCAATGCTCCCCTTTGAGATAATGTTGATATGACCTGTGAAAACTATAAAGGAGATGCATCTGCCGCTTGTTATCACTCAATCCTCAACACTTACAATCAACATTCTTTTCCAACACTTATAGTTAACACATTCCTTACACAATCGCTTACACTCTTGTATTTCCTATCAAACCATCCATCATGAAGGTCTTTGGCATGCTCGTTCTTCCCGCCCTTGCCCTTGGCGCTGCTACACCCAAGGCTACGGATGAGGCTCAGGTTCACACTCTCGACCTTGGCTGTCTTGGGGCTGCCCCTAACATCCTTGACTGCGTTGGGAAGATTACCCAGGTCGATCCCCTCGAAGCGACCGAATGGTAAGCCTTCTGCTCTGTTAGTACGCCATGAGAAGCGGCATTTACTAATTGGATGTAGTGTTACCAACTTCGTAACTGGTATCATCAAGTGCGTTCCTGGTCTTGGCAGCCTTACCGATATTCCTGGTTTTCCCAATCTGCCTGCTGGCACTGGCACTGCTGGTCAGCCTACTGGTACTCCTGCCACTCCCGTCATCCCTTCGCTTCCTGCTATCCCTGGGCTCTTTTAAGTCCCTGATGGTAGAAAACAGGCTTCCAGACTTTCACTCTTTTGGCGGGCGGGCTGACTATCTCCATCGAGCTGGCGTCTTGACAGTGGTCTCTCCGACATTTTGTTTTGAAAGTTGCTGTTGATATTTAGTGGTTTGCCCTGGTGGCAAATCAATGCGCTTGGAGACTTTTACTCACTTGGAGGACGGGGCTGACTATCTTTAACCGAGCGGGCTACTTGGCAATGGTCTCTGACATTTGTTTGAAAGTTGGTTTTGGATTTTATCGGTTTTGGAATTCGATAAACTCATTGTGCATACCGGGTCCGTAATGCCACTTTTCTTTGGCATGTCTGCGCAATCAAACATTTTCATTACCTTCAAGTCGTTGACCGGGTAAAATCCCAACACGTGGTGCTGATATGCTGGTGCGATGAGTGCTGCTTGGCAATGCAAGAGGCTTCATTTGTTACTCACTCCGTTTAACTCCAATAAGATCTTGAATGGAAATGAGCCGGATATATTGAAGCCTAGCTATATAGCTGCAGATAGAAAACGACACTCAAAGGTGACGCGAAATGTCATTACAAAAGGGCTGCAATAGCAGCAAGAAGAGAAAGGAGACCAATGGCCTGCTTACCAGCCCCGCTGATAACAGGGACAACGCTGGGTTCTGTGTCCTTGGAACTGCCACCGTTGGAGCCGTTGGGGCTTTGGTCAGAACCAGAGCTGGAACCACCATTAGAGTTTGGTTGAGAGCCGCCGTTGGAACCACTCTTGGATCCGCTGCTGGAGCCACCATTAGGTTTGGGATGATAGCCACCGTTAGAGCCGCCATGAGCAGTCGAGTTCCCGTTGCCGTTGTGGCCACCGTGCTGAGATCCCCCGCCATTGTGCTGAGAAGGGCACTCGTGACCCTTGCAAACAGGAACATCGCTGTTGCAGTTATCAGGCGTACCCCAAGAGTTCTCCCAAGGCTGGTACATGATCTTGCCCTGTGTGCAGGTATCACAGTCTGATGCAACAAAGAAATTGCTATAGTTGTACCAGTCATGACACTCTTTGGGCTTATAGACAGCAATACCAGAACAGATACCTCCAGAGCAGAACTTGGGAACATATCTTTGACCACCAGCGCAGGAGCATGGTTCAGAGATATAAACCCACTGGCCATCACAGTCGCTGCCATTGATCTCGATAAAGATATAGACAGCAACGTCGCTAGAGCTGCTAGAATAGCATTTGCCAGCAAAGCATACCAGAGTGGCGGTGACAGCTTGAGTCACAGTGGACGAAGCTCCAACGACAGTCGTTGTGTAAGTGGTGATGATAGTCTCTTGGTCCGTCACGGTTTGCGTGACAGAGTCAGTGACAGTGACAGCAGCCTCGTCAGCAGCGTAGACGGTTAGAAGGCGACTGTTGGGGACATTTTGACGACGGTGGAGCTTTGCGCTAACAGCATCTCCTCCGCAGAACTGGGTGTCATCTCCCGGACACTCAATATCGCATAGATCAAGGGTGACTCTACTGGTATCAGCAACATCGATCACATCACCACAATAACAAGCACTGTATGAGTTAGCAAGGTTACCTCACCATATAAACGGCACACTTACGTATCGTAGACACCAAAGTAAGCGCGTCCGGTGCAGAGACCAGCGCAGGTTTCTAGATCCATAGAATCGCTAGACTCAGCGAGAGTGAAGCTAGGAAAGCCAGCGGTAGAGCCAACACATCCAAAGAGGCTAAAGACGCCAATATCGCCGGGGAATCCGGCAGGGGAAGTGGCAGTAGAAGAAGAAGAAGAGACAGTGCCAGTAGCAGTTCCGGTAGGGAAGACAGTTTGACCCTCAGAGTTGGTAGTAGCACCTTCACTGTTGGTCTCAACAGCAGTCCCAGTTGGGAAGATGGTCTCGCCTTCACTGTTGGTGGTAGCACCCTCGCTGTTGATGTTGGTGGCAGTCTCAGTAGGGAAGACAGTCTCTCCCTCGGAGTTGGTACTGGCACCTTGGCTGTTGGTTCCGGTAGGGATATCAGTCTCGCTGTTGGTGGTAGCAATCTCACTACTGGTACCAGTCACAGGTTCAGTGTTGATGGGGATTGAAGGAATGGGAGTCGCGGTTGCATCCTGGGGAGCAAGCTTGGCCACGACATTGTTGACAATTGCCCCGACAATCCTGCTACTGCTACCACAGGTCTGACGGTAAGTAAACTCGACTTCCCGTGGAGCTCTGAAGGGGTTGCTCGAGATTTCGATACTACCCCGTGATGAAGCGTTGATTGGTTCGACGGCGACAACGACGCCCTCGGCAAGGACCTCGAGAACGCAATCACTTGCCTCAGCTCGCTTGCGGTCAAGGTCAGAGTCAAGAACAACACTCGAAACGACGAGGAAGATAGGACCAAGAGGCGAGAATGGGTCCCAGATGTTCCGTGGGACGCTGAATGGCAGAGTGAAGAAGGCGGGGAGGGGGGGGAGATTAAAGGGCGGATTGGGGAGTACGGTCCCAGGGACTAAAGTGGGCAAAGAAGTGTCATCTTCCTGGCGACGGACGCGGGCACCACTAGATGATCCTGGGCGTAGGAGGCTATGTTCAAGTCAGAGTGCTTC